TCTCTGGAGGCTCCAGCGGCAGGCTGATTCCTTACAGTGGCTCCCTCTCTCTCGCGGCCGTGCGGCGTTCCGTGGGGGTGCGGGGGAGACAGAGCGACCAAGTTGTGTTTGGAATCGGGCTGCCGGCTCCAGCGGCTCCAGCGGCACAGCAACACAACGGGGCCACGGTAATGGGGTCGTGGCGCGTGCGGCAGCGCGGCGGCAGCGCGGCATCGGCGAGGCACGGCGCGCTCATCTCCGCCCCGCGGCGCTGCCTTGGCTTGCCATACAAAATAGCAATATTCATGTGCTGACGTCACTGGTCTCTGGGGCCCTGCGGCGGCGAGGTGCGAAGTGGGCTGAACCTCACTCACACACACACACACACACACACACACACACACACACACTCACACGGACGGCCACACTCACACACGCCCTCTGCTTCGGCACTTATTTGCCTTGGAAAACGTGCCGTCACGCGGCGGCCGCGGATACACGCGGACACGGCCGCCACCCGTGTCGCGGCTCGGGTTCGACTCCCGGCGGCGGCAGCGGCGTTTATTTTTGGTGGGGTTTTGTGTGGTTGTAGCGCCCCGGCGCCGCTTTTAGCCCGTCGGGGCGTGGTGGCCGCGGCCTGGCGACCGCTCGGCCGCTCCAGCTAGGCCGCTCCGTGCTCGCCCCGGTCGTTATTCCAGCGTCACGCCGTCACGGTGTAGGCGCCGTTTTATGGGATGATCCCGGCCGCCAAGGCCTCCAGAGGGGTTGACGGGGCGCAACCTTGTCGCCAACGCGCCGCCCATCCACTGCCGGGAAACTCTAGACGCGTTTTGAGCTCCAGAGTCGCTGAACGGGACTCGAACCGAGCGTGTGACCCCACCACTGGATTCCTCGTTCGGAGAGCAACCCGTTGGTGGGGTCACACGGTCGGTTCGAGGCCCATTCAGCGACTGTGGAGCTCCAAACGCGTTTAGAGCTTTGGCCGCCTGCACTGCTCATCCGGCCCACTGTGCGGCGTGGAGCTTGCAAGCCTTGCACACGGCTGGCGCCATAATTCCGTCGCTTTGTTTTGCTTTCGTCCTGCGCCTCCCATTCCCGCTGGTCGACTCCCCGACGGGGCCCCGCCCGCGCACTCGACGTATGAATGGCGGGGAGGGGAGGGGGCACTTGCCTCCCCAGCCTGCGCCAGTGCAGGCCCCGCTGGGCCCCGAAGGGGTGCCTATTCTGCGGCGCGTCCTTGGCCTCCTGCTTTCATGCCGCGCTGGCCGTGTGGGCACACTGCCTAGCCGGGGTCTCTGGCGTGACTGCGCGTGGAGTGCCGCCGGCTCGGCTCGCTTGACTCGGCTCGGCTCGCGGGGCACACGTGTTGATACAGCGAAGCGAAACGCGAATGAAACGCCACCCTTGTGCGCGATACAGCAAGGAAGACAGTGTGGGTGCGCGTCGTGCAATAACCAACTCGAGTGCTTTGGCACAATTGGGTCAAGTAGGCCCGCCCGCCCACCTGCCGCGCGGTGCCGGTTCGCGGTTCGCAAACGCCGAGTGTCCTTGGAGTGTGTGGCTTTATGGCGGGCAGAAGGCTCCCACAATGGCAGTGACAATACAGGCGAGCGCCATTTCCCTTTTCGACCATTTTCCATTTTGCCGCCGAACGGCCGAAAAGGTCACAAAAGAAGCGGCGGCCTCGCGGCGTCGCGTCGCAGGCCTTCCTGCCCACGCGGCCGCGCGGCAGCCGTAAAACCCGACCTGTCGTTGATTTTCTTTTTTTGGCGCGCTTTTCGCGCGTTTGGCAGCCTTCCCCTTTCATCGTCTGTTCCCATTGACATCCGCCCCGTGGACGGACAGCGCCGTGTACGCCTCGGACTTGATGAGGACCTGGGCTAGGCCTGGGGCGGGGCTCGGGTCCAGCGGGGTGGTTCCGAGAGGGAGGTCTCTCTCTGGCTCTCATAGGACGTCCCGTGTAGGAGTGAGAGAGACAGACCCTCGGAATCAGGCCCAGTTCGTTTGGCGGCGGTGAACCGACGCCTTCCGCCCTGCTGGAACACGGGGCTGGGCCTTTCAATAATAATGAACCCTCCCCGCCCCGCCCAGCATCAAGGGCGCTCTCCGCCCTCTGCCCCGAGTTTCCGAGACAATAGTGCGCCGGGTCCCTCCTCTCGTACTCTCGTGTGATTGCGCGCACGCAAACATGGACGGGGACCTCGTTGCGGTGGGGGGGCCGCCCCGCCCCTGGCTCCAACCCCCTCGCTCCAACCCCCTCGCCTACCTGGCCCACACTCATTGACAGTGTCGCGGCGCGGCGTTCTTTTGCCGTTTCGCGGCCTCTCTCACGGGCCGGCCTCGGCCCTCCGGCAAGCCAGGCTGCCCTGCGGCCGAGAGTGCTGTCCTTTGTCATGAAACGTTTCTAGGTTTGCCCTGGCGCCGCCCGACCCTGCCCTGCCCGGCCCGGCACTCTCGCTCTGCTCCGCTGTGCTGCTGTGGCTGTGTCGGTTGGCGGACGGAGGGGTGTGAAAAATCCACCGGCTAAGGGAGAGGAAGAGGAAGAAGCAAGGCGTCCGGGAAACCCTTTATTGGCGGGGAGGGCTCGGAGTAGGGGGCAGCGCGGCGGCCGGGGTGCTCGGCTCTACACGCGGCGCTGTGCGGCCAGTGGGATCGCGCTCGCGCCGGTTTTCTTGGTTTCCTCGCTGATGCATATCGAGGGCCTAGCCTGGCGCGGCCTGGCGCCCCCAGCCCCCAGCCCCAGGCGGGGCCCCCTGCCCCTTCCCTGCGCGCCGCGCCTTCTGCGTCGCAGCGCGGCCAGCGCGGTGGGTCCGGCCGGGGCCCCGTCGTCTAGCTTGGCTAGCTGACTGTCGAAAGGCCGTCCCTCAGCACGCCCAGCGTCGCTCAGCGCGTTGTGGAAGTGCCGCAGCAGCAGGCCGTGCCGTTTGCCGTTTACATTGTGCCCCCGTTTCCGCCCCCGCGCTGCCGCCGCCCGTGGAGTCCGTGACGCTGGCGGCTCGCTGGCGGCGCGGAGCACGCCGTCGTGGCCGGCATGGCCGGACTGCCCCGAGGAGAGAACGAGTGCTTTCGTGGGTCTGTCTCTCTCGCACCCTCAGGGAGTGCCCCATGAGTGCGAGAGAGAGATCAGACTGCTGCACTGCTGGCCCAGCCGCCCGGCCCGGCCCGAGGCGAGGCGGTTTGTTGTCCGGGGCGCGCGTGCCTCGCGGTGGAGCGCGGAGCCAACGCCAGCCCGGCCGGCCGCCCAGCGGCACGTTTCGTTGCCCTCTTGTTCTCGCGGACCTCGCAGTGTCGTGGCCGTCCTCGTCGCACTCACGGCGCGGGGTGGGCGGAGTCACACCGCGGCATGCAAATGCCCTGGTCCTGGCAACGCGGGGCCCGACGGCCGAACGGCAGCCAGTGCGCACGACACTGTCTATCTTATCTCGGCTAAGGCTAAACAGCCCCGCTGCTGTCTTGCCGAACTGTCGGCCTGACGGCGCGGCGCTGCCTCCCGACCGTCCCGACGGCGGGCCGTCTCGTCTGCCGCCGTCAAACTTGTCGCTATTTCGGTTGAGGAAGCCGCCAGCCGGGGAGAGCGCGGCGCCGCGGCGGCCTTGGCGGCGGGGTCCTTGAGGCTGGCGGTGCAGCGGGGGCGCGCCGTGGGCCAGGAGGCCGGTGCAGGCGGCCCAAATCCCGGACGCGTTTTGAGCTCCAGAGTCGCTGAATGGGACTCGAACCGAACGTGAAGGACCGTTCCGTCGCTGTCACCCTGACGCCCACGCCCCATGAGTGCGACAGAGGCAGAGCGACGACGCGGTTTGGAATCCCTGGGCGCTGTTTGCTCGCGTACGCGGCAATCGTGGCAATGATCCACACTCGGCTCGCGGGCCGCGCGGACCGCGGCTGTGTGCTTTGGATTTTGGATTGGGCTAGCAGTCCGGTTCGAATCGCCCCCGGCCTGTGTGCCGCCGCTCTGCAAACCCAAAATCCCCCGAGCGCCGCCCGCCCCGGCGCTACAGCAGTTTTATTCATTTCGCCTCTCACTCTCTCGCAGCCGTGAGTGCGAGAGAGACGGAGCGCCGTTCGGCCAGCCTGCCCTGCCGCGTTGTTGGCGGCCATCCCCTGCACTGTGCACTGCATACGCATCAAAGGCTGGACTCGCCGGCTGAATCCGATCAGTGCTTCGGTCGCGCCCCGTCTCTCTCGCGCTAGCGGGGCACCCCGCAGGGGGTGCGAGTGGGAGCACTGTGAGGCTCCTCCGAAAGGGACTGGCTGGGCGCATTGCCGTTGCGATTGTGCGTTGCCCGCGGCCTGGACTGAGTGGACTGTGGTCGCGCGGCCGGCGGCCCGGCCCGGCAGGAGGACGCGCTCTGCGGTGCGGAACTGTCTCTCTGTTTGACGTTGTGTGCTGATTCTCCTGTTTGTCTGTCTGTTGCAGGTAAGTACCGGGGCGGCCGGTGCCGTGATGACGGGCTTGGTGGTGACGGTAGGGGCCTTCGGCGAAGCACGGCGTCTTTGGCTGTGCCGCTGTGACGCCACGGTCGCAGGCTGGCCGGCCTATCTCTCATTCATTCCCTCGACATTTTCGCTCCACCTCTCATTCGCTTTGAACGTAGCCGCTACTAACATTGACGCTATTAACTCATGCCATTTGATTCATTTCTAATTCCCTTCATGATTGGAGCAGTAGGTCTGTTGTCTCTCTCTGTTTGTCGTGTGCCGTCCCGGGGCCCCGCACAGTGGGCCAGAAGACCGGTGGAGGCGGCCAAAATTCTAGGCGCGTTTGGAGCTCCAGAGTCGTTAAACAGGACTCCAACCGACTCGGTTCGAGTCCCATTTAGCGACTCTGGAGCTCCAAACGCGTCTAGAGTTTTTTCCGCCGCCTCCGGTCTTCGGGCCCACTGTGCCGCGCGCCGCGCGGCGGTACGCGCCCCGGAGTGGTCCGCAAGCCCTCTGCGTCCACCACACTGCCTTAAAGTGCCCGGCCTGCGACTGTGTGTGTGTGTCAATGTGTTTTGTTTGTGTTGCGTGCGACTTGGAAGGACGGGGAAGGTTCCTTGTGGGGGAGTGCAAGCTGGACACGAACGTCAAGCCCTCGACGCTCAAGACCAGCAAAGGTATGGCCCCGGGGCGAGCTCTAGGCTAGCCCCGCAGGCGTAGCTGCGCCTCGCTGCGCGTAGTGGAATGGAACGAGTAGTTGTAGTTGTCCGCTTGCAGTGCGGCGCGCTGCGGCGCGCTGCGGCCCGCCCGGCCCGTTGCTTACCCAGGCGATCCAAACTTGTTGCTGCCATTAACTGTTTGACGATCGGCAAGTTTGGCCATGTCGTTAATCTGCTTGCGGCCCTCTCTCCGTTTCCGGCCTTTCTCACGCCTTTCCGCGGACGGTCCTTAAAAGTCTGTTTTCTCCGTCCGCCGCCTGTGGTCTGATTCCGGACGGTGCTTTGGTCGCTCTGCCTCTCTCGAACTCGTGTGGGGTGCTCCTTGAGCGCGAGAGAGTCACAGCGCGTCCGGAATGAGCGGCTCCGGACTGCTTTATCACTGCCGGCCGCCGCTTGCATGACGTTCCGGCGGCGCGCTTCCCTCTCGCCGCGAATACCCCCCGCGCCCAGAGACTGCCGCGGCGCGGGGTATGTGCGCTCCGATTGGCCGTGTCAGTGGAGGCTGGTGGACGCTTGCCAGCGGGGGGTCGCGACGCGGTGCGCGGTGGCGCCGAGGCGTGGCCAAGCCACCGCTGCCCCGATCCGTCTTGTTTTGAATCGGACTTGGCAGCAGCTGCGCTCGAGCGACGAAACTTCCCCGGGAGTATTGGCGAGAAAAAGAGGCTTGCGTCGCTTTGTTTTTACAGCGTGTCGTGACCTTACCGCCGCTTCCGCCCGGGGCCCGGCAGAGGCTCGTCGTCGCGGAGGTGCGGCGCGGGGCCGCGACCCATCCGAGGTGTTAACAGTGGCCTGGCCCGCCAGTACTTTTAAGGCCCGGGCGCTGCGTCTGGCTGCGTCACGCGCCACGTCATGCTGGGCAGAAATTCGTGGGCCTGGCGGCGGAGCGCGGTGGAGCGTGCCCTGCTTGGTGTCCGTGGAGCCGAGCGGAGCTGGAGAACGCCTGCCGGGTAGGCAACCGTGGCGCCGCGCTGCGGGCGGGTTGCCTACCTCGCGCAGTGCAGGCTGTAGGCCGCCAGGCCGGCCAGGCCGCCGCGCTTGACTCGCCTCTCCTCTCTCCTCCTTGAACCGCCGCCCCGGCCGCGCCGCGTTGGCCGCACCACAACGCCTCCATTGACTCGGGGCAGGGGAGGGGGCGGGCCCTGGCACCATGGCGACGACGGCCTCTCGCCATTCACTCGCGGTGGAATCGGAGCAAGAAGCGGACGACGGCGGACGACGGCCACGGTGGCCGGGCCACCCCAGGGGCCGCCCGAAATGAAATGGTCTCGGACGCCAGCACGCTGCCAGATTGCCCCGAGCCGCGAGGGGGTTGGGAGGGAGAGGGGCGGTTCGGGATTTGATTTGTATTTCCCCTTTTCCTCGTCGCCGACGTGCCGACGTCGACATGGTGGACGCCGCCGGGCGTGTTCGCGACACGTGGGGCACACAATGCCTGCCGGCTCGGCCGTCGCGCCGCATCGCGGTGTGTTGACGCCGAGCCGACGCTGCTTGTTATCGGCGAGGGGCGTGGCGGCGCGGTGGCGGCAGAAGCAGCAGTGGCGGTTTAAATATAGTGGGGCCGGTGCACAGCTGACTGGGCGCCGACGGCGGCGTCTCGAGTACTCTGGCTTGGGTAATCCCGCCCGCCCAGCCGCCAGCGCGGGGGGGGGGGGGGGGGGGGGGCGATGCCCATGGCGGATTAGCAGTGGCGGAACTGGGCCGCCAGATTTTGAGGGAGCCGTGGCGGCCATGGTGGCGGCCACGGTCCACGGGCTGGCCGCCCTGGCGGGGTGGCCGGGGGTGTCGGGGGTGTCGTCCTTTGTCCCGCGAGACAAGGCGCCGCTTTCCCTTTGCAGGAGCCTTGCCAGAATGGGATTGGATTGGAGGAGCGGCTGGGCCTGCGCCCTGGGGCTGGCTTGGCTTGGCTCGGGCGCAGCCACTTGCCAAAAGTCGCGCGCCTGCCGCTCGCTCGCTGGCCAAACAATGGCGCTGAGAAGCCAACGGACGCAAATCATGGCCGATTAGCAGTGGAGTGGGTGCGGGCGGAGTCTCGCTCGCAGCAAGGGTTGACAGCGTGGCTGGAAATAGTTTTGGCCGCCGAGACGCGTATGTTCGTGTCGGTTCGTGTACGTAGAGTAATGGCGAAGTAACGCGAACCATCTGGCACATCCGAGTGCGATGGGCCGATGGGCCAGCCAGCGTACCCGTGGCGCTGCGGCCGTCCCCGGGGGACGGACGGACGGACGGGCGGCGAATGGAGTGGATGAAGCGCCCCTCGCTGCTGGGGGGGAGGCCGCTGGAACAGCCCCATCCCCCGACGACGTCCTGGCGGCCATCTCGGACCGGCAGGCTCGCCGCACTGCGCACTGCTGCCGGTGGTGGACGTCGTCGCCGTGGTGGTGGTGGTGGTGGTGCCGTCGCCGTGGCCAGCCCTTTGATTTATGTCCCGCTCTTTAACGAGCCTGTTGCCCAACGCGGCTACCCAATGCCTGCTACCCCTTCGTCCGTCACGTCGAGCCTCGAGCTTGCCGCCGAACCTGCCGCGTAGAAACCGGCGGCTGCACGGTCCGTTCTGGGAATTCATGCTCTTTTTGACTGGGTAACTTCTTCGCCCCCGTTTCGCCTGAAGGGCGCTCAGCGAAAAACGCGCCATAAGAAGTTGTTTGCTCGCGGGGCCGGGCCCCGTCCCCACGCCATTTTTCCTGCCCCCGACGTTGGCGGCGTTCGCGCTGCAAGTGTCTCGTTAGGGCCGTCCGTCCGTCTGGGCCGTCTGGGCCATCTCGGCCATCTCGGCCGAAAGGAAAGCACCCTCCTATCTTCCGCCGTTAAACGCGGGCGCGCGTGCGGAAATACGATCCTCGGCCCGCGGCGCACGTGGACCAGAAGACCGGTGGAGGCGGTCGAAATCCCGGACGCGTTTTGAGCTACAGAGTCGCTAGATGGGACTCGAACCGACCGTGTGACACCACCAACGGATTCCTCGTTCGGAGAGCAATCCAAAGGTGGGGTCACACGTTCGATTCGAGTCATATTTGGCGTCTAGAGTTTTGGCAGCCTCCACCGGTCTTCTGGCCCACTGTGTAGGGTGCATGGTGTGGTGTGGGTAGTACTCGTGCCCCCTCCCTGCTCGTCCTCGAGGCGGAGGCAGGCAGAGCATGCGTCGCCGTCCTTGTCTACGTCCTCCCCGGGCAGGCTGGAGTGCGGGGCACAGCGCCGTCGGGAAATGGGGTCGTCTTGGAGGCGGGGCGGCCGGACGACGGGACGACGTGCAGTCGTCGCGCTGCCATCCCGGCAGCTGGATTTAATAATGCTCCTCGCCGAAGGAATCCGCCTCCGCGACGACCGATTTCGCTCCCGGCTTCGGCCGCCTCGCCTCGGCGCACCATCGGGGCGGAAACTGGATTAATTGGATTAATACCGTGGCAGTCACGTTGCCGCTTCTTTCCGTCGTCCTCTTTGTTTTTCTTGCTGGAAGATCCAGGCCATTCTGGGGTGGCTTCCCCCGCCGCCCCGACGGTGCGCGCGATCAACGCGACGCGCAGCGCCCCGCCTCCGGCCGCGCCCTTTTCCAGTGACGTTGCTCCTCACGCTCTTGTTGGTGTTCCACAGGCGCGCTGCTGCGGCGAGCGTCGGCCGACCCGGACCGACGTCGCATGTCCCTCGGGGGCGCCATCGGAGCTCACGGACCTCACCGAGCCTCGGACGCCTTCCTGGACCCCCACCATGCCGCCATCTTGTTCAGAGACTCGAGAGGGGTGAGTAAGCTGGGGTGCACCCCGCAAGCGCTATTTGTCAACACGTCGAAAAATGGGTCGGTTGCCGCGTCCGCGATTAACTGGAGCGCAGTCGATTTGCAGCGATCGACCCATTTTTTTTTCTCCTTTCCTTTTATCGGTGGGACAGCGTGGCACGCGGAGTAAACAAGCAGTGTTTGTGTTGTGTGCCCGGGCCATCACGCTACATCGCTACATCCCGCCCGCTGTCCGGTCCAAATCCTCGGCAAAGCTTGCAGCCCGCCGCAGCGCGCAGCCTGCATTGCCTCGGACAGTGACGACTGCGGGGTTTTTATCTCTGCCGGGCGGTGCGGTGCCGGCAGCCCAGCGCGCCCTTGGACCGGAGCAGCGCGGCGCAGCGTGGCAGAGCAGAGCCCCGAGGCTACGGCGTGGTTCGGGGCGCTGGGCCACGCCGCCACGCCGCCACGCCGGGCTCGGATGCCCCGGCCCGGCCTCGAGGTGTGGAGAGTGGGGCGTTTGAACGCGTCCCTCTCTCCTTGACGTGGCCGCCGCTCCGGGCCAGGGGGGTGGTGGGGAGGGGCGCCGCCTCGCCGCTGGGTTTGGTTTGTACGGCGGGCGCGGTGCGCTGCGCGGTGCGGCCGGGACCTCAGCTCAGTCCGTGGCAGTGCCAGTGTTGGCCGGGGTCCGGGTCGTGGCGCTGGCGCTACGCAGGCGCCGCGGCGTCGTCGTCGTGGTCGTGTGCCCTCGCTGCCGACGCGCCGCGACGCGCCGCGACGCTCCCCCCAGTGTGTGCGTGCGCCTGGGGCGCCGTATGGTGGCCGCGCGCGTCGCTCCAGCTGTTGCCTCCTGGAGTGGTTTGCAGTGGCGCGGCTGGCCGCGAGTCCCCGAGGGCCCCGCTGGTCCGGGTCAAGGGTCACGGCCTTGCCAGCAGGCCAGCAGGCCGCCAAGTGCGGCGGCGCGTTGCGCCCTGGCTGCGGCCGGAAATGACCGGCAAGATGACCGACCTGGGGCGGCGCGCGGCGCACATCGATTGATGAGCTTGACGAGCTCCGCGTCGTCCGGCGTCGTCGCGTGGGGTTGACGGCGCGCCTCCAGGCCTTTAGGCCTTCCTGCCCCCCCGTCCGATGACTAGTGTCCGGCCGACGCTGGCGGCGGTCGGCGGCGCCCTGGCCGCCCTGGCCGCCTGCACCTGTTGTGGCATCCGCCCCATCCGCCGTTCCGGGGGCTGACTTCCTGACTCGCCCTCCAGTCCGCGCGCCTCGAATCGAGATGCGTCGCGCCGTGCTCGCTACCACCCCCAGCCCCGCTCCGCCGCCGCCACCGCCGCCGCCGCTCACCGCGAGGAGCCGCTGGTACTCCAGGCTGGCGGCCAACGTGCGGCGCGGACGGCGACCCTTCTCGCCGAGGAGCATCCTGCGGAAGTCGCTCGTAAGGGTCTCGGGGGGCTCGCCTTGGGCGGGGGCTCGCTCGGCCCCCTGCGTGCTACGTGCTGCGTGCGGCCACTGATTAGGGTGGACAAGTCTGTCTCCTGGGGTAGTCCGTGCATGTCACTGGGGAAGGTCTAACGACGGCCTTTTCGTGGACCTCTGTTTTTGTTGTTGTTGTTGCCAGCCACTGACTCTTTCCTTTATCGTGTTGCAGCTGCCCGTGGCAGACCCCTTCCTGGAGAAAGTCAGCATGTCAGATCTGGGTGAGTATTGGCGCGCTGTCGGACCCAGGCAGGCGTCCTTCGGAGTAGCGTTGGGGTGACTGAGGATGTCGTGGCTGAATCGGATTACCAGCTTGATGAGCGTTTGCCTGGCCGTGCCTGGCCGTCCCCACCGAGTGCTGGTTGTTGCTCGGCTCCCCAAACTCCATTACCGTCGCGCCGCCAAGGCCTTGCCTGGCCGCGCCGAGCTTCGAGTTTCCCGCGCTTATTTCCCGAAGCGTTGGCGCGCCAGATGGGGGTGGCGGTTGTTAGAGGTTGTCATCATTCGCCTCTCCACTCCGATGAGTGGCTCGTTTCCGCCCTCGTGAGCGCTTCGCCTTTCTTCGAGCTTTCTTGGGTGACTCGCGCCGCCTGATGGCTGAGACTCGCTGGGTCCGACTGCAGTTCGGTTGCATCGCGTTCCTGTTTGCATTTCCCGCGAAAGGCGCCCCGATGGGCCTGCACTGGAGAACGCGTGCCCCTGACGCAACGCCACGCAACGCCTCGCAACGACAGCGGTACCGCGGTACCCACACCCGCAGGCCGCACCAGGCACTTCCCTTCCTTGCCGCTGCCCGCCTGCCAGGGGTCGTGGCTCCCGGGGTGGCTGTGCGTGTGGGGGAGGGGCGGGGGGCTCAGAGGAGGGGGCCTATCGATCGCGGGGGGCTGGGGGCGCGTAGGGGCGCGGCCCCCTGCAAGCGTGCCCCCTCCCGCGCCCATCCCCGTCCCGCCAGTCCCGGTCGGCCATCAATGCACCGCGGGGCCGTCGGCGTGCCGTCGGCGTGCTGTCGGCTGCCGCTCTTCCACGCCATTATGCCCGCCCTGGGTCGCCGATGACGAGCGCTCCGTCGGCGCCGACCGGGAGCGCCGCCGCAAGCCCTGTGCTGCACGGCTGGAGAAGGCAGTCCTCTGTCACTCCCGCACCTACACGGCACGCCCCAGGCGAGAGAGACAGGACGACGACCAGTCTGCTAACATGGAGACGGGGCTAAGCCAAGGAGGGCCGCCCTGCCCCAAAATAGCAGCACGCCAATGACAGCAGCACGCCGCCGTGCTGTCCGATCGTATACCACACCTAGCTGGCCTGGCTGGCATCCCTTTCTTGCTACTCGGTAGCCTGGCCTGCAGCATGCCGTCGTGCTGGCGCTGGCAAACCCAGGCAGCCCGGCCGATGCAAATCGGAATCCCCTGGGGAGGCTGCTGATGCTAGCGCATGCTGGCGGTGGCGTCGGCAGCCTATGCATTCCCACTGCCCAGCTCACACAGGGTCTTTATTGGCGTTGATGATTTGAACTGGAAAAGGGGGAGGGGAGGGGGTACCGCACATGAGGCCCCCGACGCCGCTTCGCCGCCACGCCGCGGCCCACTAGGCCCGCACCATGCAAGGCGCCGGTCCTGGTCTGGTCCTGGCGCCTCTGCCTCGGTTTCGAATGTGTCGCCTCGCCGCGGTCGCCTCGCGAGTCGCGAGTCAGTCTGTCCCCGGAAGCCTTGGGCATGCCTTGGGGATCTCGCTCCTGCTCCTGCCAAGGCCGCCAGTTTGGCAGCTGCCCCTCCCGGCCCGGCGGGCCCGGCTCGGCGCGGACCATCTTCCCCGCCGCGTCCCCGCGCGTCCCGCGTCCCGCCGCCACCGCGGCTAAATTTACCCAGTGTTGGGCGCAGAGTGCCTGCCCGCCCGCCTGCCACGCCACGGCGGCCCCGACATGGCTGTGGTCAGTCCCCGCGCTGCATGTGTCGGACACGGCTGTTTTGACGCTGGCGTGTAGCCGTGCCGCCTGCAGGCCGCCTGCCGTGCTACCGGACGTCGTCGTCGTCGTCGTGCTCGCCCCGGCAGCCTCGAGCTTGACGGCGGCCCCGGCCCGTTGCGCTGGACGCGTGGTTCCTCGCGCCGCCCGGGCCCGTTGAAGGGCCCCTCGAAGGGCGCTATGGCCCGCCCTCGCCCTGCCCGCCCAGCCCGCCGTGCCCCGGCTCCAGCCCCCGCCTGCACGGCCGCACCGTGCTGCGCCACTCCGGCACCGGCCACCTGCACCTGCATTACTACAGCAACAGCCCCTCGCTGCGCCTGCCCTCCATCGAGGAGGAGGCGGAGGTGTACCGGCCCGACCAGATCAAGGAGTTCGAGAGCGTGGACCCCGCCTGGAAGTCGGACATAGCCGAGGTCCTCGACAAAGGTGCGGTGCGGTGAGGGGCCCCCGTCAGGCCGTCATGAATGAGCCGAGCCGTGCGTCGCGGGCCTGTTGGCCTTCCCCGCCCCGCCCGACCCCGCCCCGCCCCGCCCCGCCCCGCCCGCCGAGGAAGGGCGTCTCGCCGCCGCTCCGCCGGTCCGCAGCATGCCGCGGTGATACGATATCAGAGTGATAGCGCCGCGCTCAGTAGCTGACCGGCCGGGACGCGACAAAGCAGGCCGACCAGGTGACGGTCCCGACGGTAGGCGCGCTGCGCTGCGCTTGCGCTGCGCCGGGCGTATGGCCGCGCGAAACCGCACCGCGCCACGCTTTGCCGCGCTGCCTGTGACGCGACGGGACGCGACGGGACGCGACGTGACGGCCCGGACTGTCGCAGCGCGGATCGTCACGCCAAGTGACGCCAGGACGGCCACTGTGCGGCCAGCATGCGGCGCCGTTCCAGAACAGTCGTTATCAGCCGTGAGTTGACGGCCCTCCCCCCGGCCCGCCCCCGGCCCGCCCCCGGCCCACGCCGCCCCCGAAGCACGGTCCTGCTAGGTCGCGGCCCTTGTATCAAAGAGTAAAATTGCAACACAAATTAGACTCTCCGTTTCGGGACGCCTTGGTCACCTCAACGCTCCAGCCTTGTAGTTTTGATGTTCTTTCTACTGGGAGTTGAATTTAATTTTGTTTTGTTTTTTTGTTTTACAGAAGAGGATGAAAGTCAGATTCTTGTGAAATTTTTCAAATTTCACAAATGCTATGATCTTATTCCTACTAGTGCCAAGCTTGTTGTGTTTGATACACAGCTTCTGGTCAAAAAAGCCTTCTTTGCCCTTGTTTACAATGGTAAGTCTAATGTGAAATATAGTGTTATTTTCTCATGTAGGGCGTCTTCTAATTATTTGTTCCCCCTTTGTTTTGCTAGGTGTTAGAGCAGCCCCATTATGGGACAGTGCCCAGCAGAAATTTGTAGGAATGCTCACCATCACAGACTTCATCAAAATCTTACAAATGTACTACACCTCTCCTTCTGTTACCATGGACGAGTTAGAGGAGCACAAATTAGACACTTGGCGAGGTGAGCTTTAAGTACTGTAATTTAAACTTTGTTTCTTACGATCTTTAATTTATTTATTTTTAAATTGACCATTTTAAACATTATTTCACAGATGTTCTGAAGGACCAAGAAATGCCCTTAGTAAGCATTGGACCAGATGCATCTTTGTACACTGCTATAAGTACATTGATTAAGAACAGAATACACAGGCTTCCTGTCATTGACCCAGAAACAGGGAATGTGCTCTATATTTTGACTCACAAACGTATTCTTCGTTTCCTGTTCCTTTATGTAAGTTTAAATGCAAAGCATCAACCAATATGATTTAGGATCTAGGAGGCTCTTAAATATTTTTCTGAACCCAACTATGATTTGTTTTTCCTCACAGATTCATGACCTGCCAAGACCCAGTTACATGAATAAGACTCTTAGAGATTTAAAAATTGGAACATACGATGGTATTGAAACAGCCAGTGAGGAAACCTCAATCATCACAGCTTTAAAGAAGTTTGTGGAAAGGAGAGTTTCTGCTCTCCCCATGATTGACACTGAGGGTCGCCTAGTGGATATTTTTGCTAAATTTGATGTCATTGTAAGTTTCTGTTTTGTTTCTCTCAGTATTGTGCCCACTATCTACAGATAATTAAAACTGCTTCTAAGCATAATTTTTATATTGCTCTAATTTTCAGAATCTTGCCGCTGAGAAAACTTACAATAATTTAGATGTTTCTCTAAAGAAAGCTAATGAGCATAGAAATGAATGGTTTGAAGGTGTCCAAAAATGCAAATTAGATGAAACTCTCTTCACAATATTAGAAAGGATAGTCCGTGCTGAGGTAAGTTGCTGTTTACATTTCGGATGTTGTTCTTGTCATTGTCTTCATTTAACATTATTCTTAATCATTTCAGGTGCATCGTTTGGTTGTTGTGGATGAAGAGGAACGTGTTATTGGAATTATTTCACTGTCTGATTTACTCTTGTACCTTGTCCTACGGCCATGTGGTAGGTACCTATTTCATTTTAGTGAATCTAGAAGAAGTAGAAATAAGTAGTCACTGTTTCATTTTCTTTTATTGCTTCAGGTGAAGATGGCAACTCTGATAACTGTTCGTCTGTGAGAAACCAGGATGTCCAATCAGAGGTAAATGTTGAAGAAACTGAGTCGTCAGAAGTTAGTGAAAAAGCAAAGGAAGAAACTAAGTCATCATTAGAAACTTCAGAAGTTAATGCACCGGACTCTCCAGCAAGACAGGATTCTGTGCCTGAAGTGACAGAAGAAATAGCTGAAACACCTGAGACTTCAGAGACAGTAGATAATGACCCATCCCCAACCAGTGTTGATGTGGGCAGCAGTGGGTGGAGGGAAGTGACGGTTTCTGGTGGCGAATGAAAATATATCTATTTATATTTGGCATCAAAAAAGGACTAATAATGAATGTGAGTGAAAGACCCCTTATAGTGAAATTTAATTACATATATATGTGAGTGAGTGAAAGTGATAAAAATGTTGTGTGAGTGTGTGGTAGTGTGCAGCGTGCATGATGCGTAGTGAGCAAACTGCGGGTTTCATTTGATATTTATATTTGCTCATGGCCCATTTGTATTGTTTGTCTTCTTATGAGACCTTTGCGTTTGTAGTCATTATTACTGTTATATTAGTCATTTATGGAAGCAGTCTTTTGCAAATGCTGATAAAAGTGGTGGCCTGAATGCCTATTTTTGTTAGAGATTTTTTAGGGGAGGGGGGTACAAATAGTTCATGAATGAAGATGAGAGAGAAGCTTCGACTGCCTTTCAGTTATATATTATGAAATTTTCTAGAAAATGCCATTGATTTTTTTTGTTTGAAAAAAGAAAAAAATCTAGTTAGAAGACAGTGATGTCAGCATCATTGCTTCCCTCTTGTAAAATAGAGAGGTTAAACTTATTTGCTCCTTTTGTGTGGCCTATTGTAATTTGGTTTAGTTCCTCTAGAAAGGCAATTTTATATGAAGTATGTATGATAACATCTGCAAGTCTGGTACAATAGAATGCTAGTACGTATTGTGGTGCAGCTGCATTGTGATTTTAATTTTTGGGCTCGGTGTTTGCTTAAAATATTTAAAGTACTTGTTGATAGCTGACTAAATTTGTCAGATCAGATATTTGAAAAGCTATGTAAAACCTAAGGTGTGCCATATGGCTTGCATTCAGACTGTTTTCCTTTCCCTTTGATAAGCGGCAAGGAAAATATTTTTGTGCTGTTTAACATAAATTTTGTTGATTCAAAACAATTTTTGAATGTATCTTTAAAGTAACATTAGTTGATTTATATAATAATTACACCAAATATATTACGCAGATGAATTTGTGATAATGTGACATGCAAGTGTGTTTGTACGTTAAATATGGTGTAGCCAGGGTTTGAAACTTGGACAAATTTGTTTTTCTCATGAAATTATCTCTTGTAAGGCTGTCTTTAAGTTATATAAATACGTAAGTCACCCGTTGATCCTAGAGAGAGAGATTTTTTTATCCTTTGTCCAAAGCACAAAACTTAACATCTTTTCATTGAGTCAAAACAAGAAAAAACACTAAAAAGCATGTTTGAAAAAAAATACAATTTATTAAACACAGCTAGCTTCAGTAGGGCTCATCAAGCTTCAGCCTCATCACTACTGCAGTCAGTGCTGCTATCCTTACACGATTTATGGATGTATCCTTTAGCATGCTTTCTGTACCTGACGAAGGGATCACAAATAATTACCAGTCCAGGCAACTCGCTTTTTAATTCGCTGACAATTTGAGGAGGTATACCCTGATTGAAAAAAGAGCCAAGCACATCAAGGTGCTTTAAATTGGGAAGATATCGAGGCAGCTGTTGAACATGTCTCATTCTAAAGGTAATTCCGTCAACAATACGTAATTTCTGCAATGAGGGGACAGTTTTCACGATACTTACACATGTTGTTATACCATGCAAACTCAAACTTTCCAACTTCCGACAACGTTCAGCAATGGCACTAGCTACTTCGCCAGGAATGTAATGCATAGATAATTCTCTTAGATTTTCAAACACAGGACAGTCACGAATAAACTTTTTCAGTTTGTTCTTAGCAACAATATCAATCCACTTTATGTGCAGGGATTCTAGAGACTTCAGAGTACTAATACATCTAATATCGTCCAGACAAATAGTAATTTCCTTTAACTGGTCACAGGATGCCACTGACCCAAGAACACCAACATTAGATTTCTGAGGAAGCATGAGGGTTTTAAGATGTGGCCTAACTGATTCTAGGAATGGTAAATATGAATCAGACTCATCTTGGATACAGCTAACATCAAGATGATGCAGTTCCAAATTACTTTGCTCTAGGACTTTTTTGTTCCATTTAGTATCGAAATATCCAGAAAGCTTAAGACTTCTGAGCTGGGGCATTTGACCTAAAACTGAATCAAGATTACGATAAATGCTATTGTGATTAAGAGCATGTCCTACCAAATGAAGGTCAAGTACATGATTTTTATAATGTCGTAAAATGCGAGCACCCTCTTCAGGACGAAACAGACTTAAATTATAATGAATGGTTTTTATATCTTTGGTTCCTTTGCATATAGCGGTCATGACTCTTTTTGGATCTTCACAGGCAATTTGTGAGATATTCAATTTCTTTAGGGCTGGAGCAACACCAAGCACATAAATAAGTAGCTCTTCACTCTCATGTGTCAGCTCTTTCTCAGACCATATTGACTTGAAATGCATTGTTTCCTTCCATCGTTGACAGACCCTCGAAACATTCTGACCCAGGTCCTTAACACTCAACATTGAAAATATGAATGCGAGTAGTTCTGTAGGAAGTGAGTGGATAAAGGCCTGAAAACGAAACCAATGATAAAGTACAGGGATATGCTTATACGATTAAGGAAAAGTAACAACAAAAATGAAAAAGATCAAGAGATTTAATTTTACACAACAAGGTTATATGATGTACCGTTTCTGAATCTGCTGAAGAAGATGCAGCTTCGTCATTTGACACATCTGTCTCAGTCTTCATTTCACCTCGAGGGTCATTCATTTCGACCCAGTCGTCAAATCAACAAAATTAAAACGAAATGTAAACACAAATAACAACTGCAGGCAGACTGCAGTGCCCGAAGTGGGGGCGCTGGAGGGGAGGGGAAGATGGCGCTAGATCACGTGACTTACGTGACTTGAATGCGCGCCAAAACGAAGCAAAACCGAGGCGGTGGCACTTGCTTTCAAACTGGTGTGAACGAAAAGGACAGTAGAAAGGACAGTATCGTCTCCGGGATTCCGTCCCACGTATTGCCTCTCACATTGCAGAGATTTTCCGTCGGCGTGACCGCATTGCAGTAGATGGCAGCAGACGACACACGCCCGTTTTGTTCGAGAGACGAGCTATACTCACCCCCTCCACCACCACAGCACCCGTCAGGTTTCGTTTGATTCACTGACAATTATATGTTTTGATTTCTTCTACCCGATAAAAAGGCATATTTTGGCACTATCATGGCTAGTCTGGAAAGTGAAGAGACGTTTGAGGACTATTGGAAGCAAGTGTGCCGCTTATTTCCTATACTTTGTCATGAGGTACTGCTTTGCTTTAATAAAGTCTACACCATCTGTAGGTTATGTGTGTGTATACGTTGTATCGTTTGTTTATACTGTTTCAGAATCGAGAACAACTTAAGTCAGAATGCCCTGTAGATGAACTCGGGATAATGCAGTCAATAGTCAATCAAGGTCAAGATGAGTTTGTGGAACAATTAGTTATAAATGAGATTGAAACTAAGCTACGTAGAGACGTTGTTCCTGCCTTTTGGCAACATTTTACCATAGAGGAGTCAAGATGTAGCAGTTCAGACGCTTTCAAAGAAGCAGTGGACTCTTTGTTTGATTCTCTAACTTCAATAGTTCCTGTTCTTCGTACCTTAGTATTTTTACGCCAAACAGCACAATCTGAGCGTTTACTTTTTGGACATTCATCCCTCATGGAAAGTTTCAAAGTGATGGTTCGATCTTCTCTTCACTCCCAGCTTCCCCTCAATTATCAGGCCGTCACTGAAGATTTTTACAGAATATCTTTCAAAGTGTTCTGTAACTCAGAGAGTAAAGACAGTGATCAAAATGAATCAACAGAAGATATTTTACAATGTGCTGGTTGTAATCAAGAAGTAGATCTGTGTCAATGTCAAGCAATCATTAAAGCATTTCATGAAACTAATGGGTGAGTTGAATAGCATACTATGTGGTGCACCACAGGTCGGTAACAAAACTCATCCTTGGTTTTCTTCCTAGGAAACTTCAAGAGTTGGATCTCCTAGAGCGTTTGGCTGGAGACGTCCTCACAACCCTGATACACAAGAGAATTGAAAGCCATGTTCAAGAAACATGCACAGGAAGCTTTGATGTGTCCCATATTGGTTCTTTAGAAGTGGTATGTGTGGCATAATTATATTTCTTGACTTAATATTTTTTTACTGTGGTTTTTTAATTGATGCATCCTCATTAATAATAATAACAAAAATATTAATTGTCTGATTTTTTAGTGGCTGGATACTGTAGTTATGGGTTGGCTGAGCCGCATTTACAGCTCTGGCTCTCTTGGGTTCCAAGAGTCGGAGAATAAAGCCTGTGTGTCCTCCTCAGAAACACTTTCCAAAATGAAGCAGACATTGCGCCATTTTCTCTATGAAACATACACCAGAACTAGAATTGACCAACTTTTTAATATAATTATAGGTATGGTTTTAAAAATATTTTGTTTGATAAAAGACAAATTACTTGTCTAAACCAATAAATGTTAATGTCCTTTCCAGAGTACCCTGATTCTGAACCTGCTGTAGAAGATCTACGAATATGTTTACAGAAGACAGATATGCGCAAACATTTAACTCAAAAACTTCAGAGAGCTTTAGAAACCAGGCTCCTACACCCTGGTGTTAATACCCCTGATATACTTACTGCATATGTTGCTGCTATTAGAGCATTACGCACTCTAGATCCATCAGGAGTTCTTCTGGATACTGTCACTCAGCCTGTTAGACAATACTTACGCTGGCGTGATGACACTGTCCGTTGTGTAGTTACCAGTCTGACAGAGGATGGCCCAAGTGACTTGGCAGAAGAGCTTTCCCGTGGAGAAGCTCTCCAACTAGATGACCTAACACCATCAGAGGAAGATACAAAGAATTGGGAAAGTTGGAATCCTGATCCAGTTGATGCTGACCCATGTAAGTTGAAACAATCATCACAACATTGAACTTTTTTTTCACAGTTTAAATTAAAATTGAATTTGTTTTTCCTTGATTTTCTGCAGCTAAGACATCCCAGAGTAGAAGAACGTCAGATATCATTTCAATGCTTGTTAATGTGTATGGCAGCAAGGATCTGTTTGTTAATGAATATCGTACTCTTCTTGCCGACCGGCTTCTTAGTTCCTTAAACTATAATACAGAGAAGGAAATAAGATACTTAGAATTGTTAAAACTGAGGTAAATAGTATGCAAAAATCATTTTAAAAAAGTTAATTATCTTATCAGTTTTAAATGAGGGTTTGGCACCCCAGTTTTGTTGTAAGTTACATTTTTCCATTTTTTATTTTTTTTTACTAGGTTTGGGGAATCCCAGTTACATTATTGCGAAGTTATGTTGAAGGATATTTATGACTCGAAAAGAATTAATACCTACCTCCATTCTGATTCAAACTTTAACCTTGACAATCAGGTATGTTTTGTTTTTGTTTCCATTGGTGTCAGGGCGTCATTGAACTTCATATGTAGATACTACAAATCATATCTATGGATTAGTTATAATTTTCTCTTCTTGTTCACCCCCTACCTTTTCTTGTTTTCTCAACAGGAGTTTGCAATAACAGCAATGATTCTATCAGCCCAATTTTGGCCTCATTTCAACAAAGAAACTCTTGAATTACCAGAGTTTGTTCAAGAACATCTAAACACTTACACTAAAGCATTTGAAACACAGAAGGTTTGTAATCTTATTTATTCCATTGAAGCCAAATTGAAGCATCTGATTTTTTAACTTGTTTTCTTTTTCTTAGGGTAACCGAACTTTGAGTTGGAAACCACAACTTGGCTCTGTAAACCTTGATATAGAACTGAAAGACCGCAAAATTAATCTCACTGTTTCTCCAATTCATGCAACCATCATTTGGCACTTCCAAAGCAAAAGTAAGTCAACTTTTTAAAAAAATTGAAGATTATTTTGCTAGTTATTCTAGTCATAACACATTTAATTTTTTTGTCAATTTTGTTTTTTCTAGATCAATGGACTATTGAAGAACTTAGTCAGATAATGCATGCCCCAGCTACATTAGTGAGAAGGAAGATCACTTATTGGCAGTCTCAGGGCTTTTTGCATGAAATTGCGCCAGATTCCTTCGAACTTGTTGAAGAGAGTGGTCCACGGGTCAAGGGTCACATTCCATCAGACATTGTGTGCGATGATGAAGAAACTGAAAGTGCAATGGCGTCAGCTCAAGAACAACGTGAAGAAGAACTTCAGGTATTAACATCATATCTTGTAATACATTTGTTTTAAAGTGCTATGTAGCAGCCCAAATTTTAATTTTTATTGTCCCTTTTTTTTTTTTTTTAAGGTCTTCTGGTCATACATTGTTGGAATGCTTACTAATTTGGATTCATTGCCCTTGGACCGAATCTTACAAATGTTGAAAATGTTTGCTTTGCAAACGCCCACAACAATTGAATGTAGCTTGCAAGAACTGAGGCACTTCTTGGACCGAAAAGTTGCAGAGGAGAAGCTGCTGTTTTATGGAGGAGTTTATCGCTTACCGAAATCTTAAGAACAGAATCAATTCTTAAAAACAATAAATTGTGATAAGTTTTTCTGTAAATAGAAGGGTTAAGAGGTGGTTGAATCAAAAACAAGTTTTTAATTATTATGTTTGTACAGTTTTACATTGTTTTATACTACTATAAATCACATAGGTAATTTTGATACCCTTCTTGAACTATGTACAGTTTGTCAAACAATGGTAAAATATCAATCAATCAAATCAAAGTTGCTATTGTGCAGAAAATGTGTCAGCAATTCAAAATAAAATAGTACATGTGCTGTCCTACAAGAATCTTTTTCATAACTACCACATGATCCTGGTAAACAATAATTAAGTTCACTGGTGAAAGTCAAAGTGCAATTGAAGAATCAAGTTAAATAAAGGTGGAACTGAATCACAAACAAAACTTTGAACATTTAAATAAACTCATTGAACCTATGTATGCCACTATCTAGCGTCTTTTGTAAAGGCAAGGTTCTAAAGTCAGGTCAGGCAACTTTCCAGTCTTTGTGATTCTCCGGACTTTCTTGAAGTCCATGAAAATAAACATTTGATTACTTATGTCTTTCTTCTTCAAGGAGAAGCCAAAATGCCCCATGGCACTTGTAAAGTTGTCAATATCCTCAAACCGGCTCTCAACCTCAGCGATGTAAAGCGTCCCTCTACAAAAGAAAATTAATATAAATATTCATATTACATGTAAAAATGAAAGAGTGGTTATGCAGTTACCTTAAATGAGTGAAACTTACCCTGTTTTCATCACTCGATTAGCTTCCAAAATAAAGTCATTAAGATTCGTTCCCATGAGAGAGAGACAAAAGACAGCAACATCCACACTTTCCAACAAAAGAGGTGTATGTGCCATGTCACAGGCAATAACACCAGGCTTTGAGGCTACCAGATCCAAGGAGTGAACTTTACGGTCAGGCAAGGATGCTGCAAGTTGAGCATCACCACAGCCAAAGTCGGCCACAACAAAGTCACTTGGGAGCCTTCAAGGGAAAAGAAATCAAATATTGTTAGTGTTGATATGATAAATATCTTTACACTGAAGCAGCTTAGTTTTCATACTTAGAAATAGCTTGAATGATGACATCAACAGGGTTCAACGGCCACTGTGCCACTTGATTCCTATAGCCAGAATGGTATGCTTCATAAGCATCAGGGTCTTCTTTGAAATACTTCAGAGCATCCCAACTGTTCGAACAGTATAACTGTTCATTGAGCCACCTGTAAAAGGGAAACAAAGTATATAGACATACCCCTCAAACTAATAATACTTTAACAACGTATATGAACTTTAAGTTACCTGAAGCGAGCTGACTTCAGCTGTTCAGCCATTTTTTCTCGAAGTGAAACAGGTCCTTGCTTAGACTTCTTACTTTTTGGGCTACTAGAACTAGGACCTTTAGATGCACCTTCTCGCACCAACTTCCTTGCCTTCTTTACATCATAAGATATGGTAGAATCCATAATGGGAGCTTCCGCTCTAGTTTTCTCTTCAGAGGACATACTAGAATTCAGAACGCGGGCTTTTTTAAGAAGTTTTGAAACAGCTAGTTTTCTTTTAGAAAGCTTGTCGGGAACCATTTCTGCCACTCCATTATCTGGTAACAGACTTTTCTTCAGTTTAGAACCTAATTTGTAATTTTTGAAGGTGCTGACAAAGTTTCCATCAACTGAGTCTGTTGGAACATCACTCTTCTTCTTTTTAATTTTCTTTGAATTTTTGTGTTCTTTCAGGTCTGGGGATGATGTTGTAGATGTGTCAAGAGAAGGATTGGCTGTCCCTTGCACAGATTGTGGCGTATGCATTTTCTCTAGGTTGCCTTCAGACACAGTTTTGGCAATTTTAAGCATTTTCTTCTTTGCTTTTTTGCTGAGAACAACCTCGTGTTTATTCAAACTCTCCTTAGCAAGAGCAAGATTTTCAGTCTTTTTCTTCTTTTTCAGTTGTCTCTTTAATTTCTTTTTCAGCTTTTTGTCAGCAGCTGATAATGGTGGGGATATGCTTGTGTGATTTTCTGTTGTAGATGGCTTATTGCCCTGAGCCTCTTTCACTTTCTTGACTTTCTTCCGCTTCTTTTCTACTTCAAATAGCCTCTCCAATTTGCTTTGAGAACCAACAGCACTTTCTACATTATTTTTTTTCTTTTTCTTCTTATTTTTGGTCTCATTGGGAGATATGGATGGAGCATTCATTGCAAGAGTCCCCGCTTCTGAGACTGAAGTTTTCGATAGTTGCTGCTGCTTCTTCTTCAGTTTCTTTCGCTTAGCTCTGGACATTTTACCATTCATTCCGTCAGGCTGCTCGATACTGCCGTTTTGGTTCCCTGATATTTTCTCTCCAGGTGGCTTTACTTTCAACCCATCTTTTGAACTTTTTGAGGGTACATTATTCAACAATCCTCCCAAAGGTTTAGGTGGTTTAATCTTCGTTTGACTGAGGTCTGATGGAGTTGAATTCAATCCTTTCTTCTGCTGCTTCTTCAATTCATTCTTTCTCTTTTTCTTGGCCTTTGATTTTCCCTACATCCAAAGAAGAATCATAGTAAATTAAAGTTTCAGATGAAGCCGACTGTGGCATGTAACTTGATGAAATTTAGCAGAAATACTCGTATACTCACGATTCCACCGAAAACTTTCTGTGCCAGGTTTTCGCTTTGCTCGTCCACGTCCCATTTCGGCGCAGTAAAGAAGCTCATCGTGTGAATTTAGGGACGGTATTGCATTAATTCGACCAAAAACAAACTTGCCGCAACGCTTCCTAACCTAGCTGCGACAGTGCGTGTCTTGTCTTCGTCTGCTATTCCACCGCCTTCTTGGTGCGGTTCTCCTGTTTGGTTTGGTGACGCCATCTGGTGGCGAATCTTCGAAATGCGTCCGGGCGCGCAAAGAACGAAGCTCAAACGCGCGAACATGGTGGAGTGTCAAGCAAAGGTCCACACCTTTCTTTCGATTTCCCAAGGATGTATTCGAGAAAAGAAAAGCACTTACTTTAGTACATAATTTTAATGTCATCACATACAACAATAAATAACAGTGTCCACTATAGGCAACTCTGTGTAGCTTACTCTAGGATTAACAAGTTTTCTTACAGCCATTTATAATTTTGACTTAAACTAAATTTGTACAAAAAATACACATCTGATCAGACCCTACAATAAGAAAAGACATGTGGGTATCAATAAGGCAGAAGCGTGAGAAACGTATGAAAAAAAGCTTTATTTCGGTATGTGGCGACACTGCCTGTATTTCAATGGAAAGTGCCTCTTCCGTCGGGCCTCCTTTCAACGAGGAAGGGAGGCGGAAGGACTTTCGACAGTGTCATGACAAGCCCCGTTTTTTGATGAAATCGGTAAGAGCTGCGAGTAGCTCCACGCTAATTTTATTGTTTGTTCCATCCTTCCTCTCTTTTTCAACCAAAGTAACAATCTAGGTACGTGTTGAAACAAAAAAAATAAGTGAAAGCAGAGCAGTTACGACTATTTCTACTTCACTGGGTTGGCTTGCATGTATTTCCTAATCGTACGCAATAAAAATTATTATTTAAAAAAAAAACAGTGCAACAACTTGTACTGTGGCAGTCCATACAATACATAAATAACAGTAATCGATGAGATCGTGCGGATCGTGACCACACGTGAGGCACAGATGTGACACGCGTGTGTGACACGACACGAGGCAGCTCCGTGTCATGCCGCTAACATTTTTTTATCACAGATGGGTTTGCGGACTCCATGCCACGCATGACGTCACCTTATGACGTCACACAGCGCGGCCATGGAATTGGTACAACAGTACAGAAGTTGTCTCGGACGCTGTACCGATGCAACGCCACGGTTCGTGGTTCCTCTCGCTGCTCGAGGTGCGGGCGGTGCTGCCGCTGAGTGCTTTCATGAAGTCCTACTTCATGGTGCATCAGGCCCGCAGAGCCGCCAGCACCCTCCAAGACTCGGACGTGAAGGGGGTGAGGCCCGTGAAACAGTATTCAAGCCGGGTGCTTCCCGCTTCGTGGTTCCAGCCAGGTGCCCAAGGCCGAGCTTGGCTCAGTCGTCCTTGAGGTAGGACTCGATGGGGTTCGGGCCTCTCCGGACGTGTGACGTGGTCGTCACAGTTTCCACTGGAACGGAGGAGATTCGCCACAATAAACACCGCAGCCCACTGCACTGTAGTGCATGCTTTGCGTGACTGTACTGTACCTGTCGGAGGCGCCCGCAAACAGTCCAGCCACTCGGTGATGGTGATGCCGCGGTCCTGGTTGGCGTCGCAGTACCGAGGCAACTTCTTGCCGCAGCGTCGCAGGGGCTGGTGCTCGCTGACGAGCTGCCGGAACGCCTTCCACTCGGGCCGGTCCAGCACCTGCAAAGCACCAAGCCCAAATCAACATCAGTCTTGTCGTTTCCGGACGTGTTTCGCGTTCGCCGATCCGTACCTTATTCTTGTTCTTGTCGAACGTGAGGAAGTTCCAGGTAGCTATCCGATCCTCCGGAGAAACCTGCCAGTTAGTGGAACTGTGCGGGACAAAAGAGGATGGCAGCGGTTAGGCGGGTGAGAGAGTAGACAGGGGAACCCAACTGGGGAACTTTGCCATCAAGTAACCGTACCTGCTGGAGTCCGTCTCGTTCATAGCCGTTTGCATTCGTAGCTTGAAGAACTCCTTCAGGTTTTTCAAGAACTCCTTCTTCCTCACTTCCGGACAGCCTGGAACACGCAGCAGCCTGACGGTCAGTTCTCCGTTCGGACAGTGCAGCAGACCGAGCGGCCGGCGGGCAGGCAACCCAACTGGACTCGTCGTCCGACTTGGAGTCCGACTCACCCTTCATGGAGGGCGCGAGCGCGTCGCAGGCGGGCCGCTTGTCCTTGGCCGAGGTGCCCGGGATGGGCTTCCCCGTGTCCTCGTGCACGCACCAGCAGTAGCCCGTCGAGTTGTAGCACTGCAGCTTGTTGTAGCGGCCGTCGTCCGTGCACTCGGGGACGTACAGCACGGAGGAGGCGGCGCGCTGCTCCTCCAGCACGGCCTGCCGGTCCGTCAGGCAGTCCGTCACTGCAACAGGAACAAGGACGAGGTTCAGACAAGCAGCCCAGGGCGTGCATGACTGCGTGCGTGAGTGCGAGCGTGAGTGCGAGCGTGAGTGAGTGAGTGAATGAGTGCGTGCGTGCGCGTGCACACTCGTCCCCCAAAGTTCCCCGCTATCGCTATCGTTGCTGATGCTCACCCTCCGGCTCCTCTCGGTTGCGCTCCAGGTTGTCCAGCAGGAAGCCGGGCAACTGCGCCGCCAGGGTGGACACGCTCTCCTGCAGCACTGTAAACAAACAACCAGGTCACGTGCGTGCCGCGTGCGTGCCGCGTGCGTGGCGAGGCGTGTCGTGGTGGATGCAGCCGCGCGACGGGCGAGGAAGCGAAAACCGCCACACTGGGGAATGACCACGTGGTGCCGGTCATGCAGATGTACATGGTGAATGCAGTTGAATGCAGGCATGCCGCACAAGGGGGATACAGGCCTCGCCGAGGTTGCCGAGTTGCACGAATGGGACTTACCTTGGTGGCCCGACGCGTCCTTGGCCTTAGCCGGCCTCTGGGGCGATCGGAGTCCTAGAGGGCAGACCACCACCGAATCAAACTCAGAACCAAACCGCGAGCTACATTCACTACATTATTGCACTGGCGCGAGAGCGAGTCAGCGTGTCACCATGGTGTCACACTGCACCGCACTGCACCGCACTGCACCGCTCCACGCCGTGCCTTAGGCCCTTACCTGCGTCGGCCGCGGCCTGCCGCACCCTACCCGGTCCCTTGGCTCCCCTGGCCGGCCCGGGCCCCATGCCTACGGAACAAACCACCACCGTGTACGTCAGCCAAGCTCTAATCAACATGTCATCAAATTCCATTCAACTACAATTCCACTTGGTGGCCCGGTCGTCCGTCGGCCCACAAGTGAGTTTTTTTCGAAAAAGGGCAAAAGTGAGGGCAGGGAGTGGCGCGGCGAGCGGCCCGCGCGCCCGGCCTCATGATGTCGTCAATTTGTCGGGGGTGGGGAGGGGGCGGGGCAGGACGGACATGTACGCCGCATCATTTTCAGCAGGAAGTTGGGTTTACGCCCGCCGCGCCATGCCACGCCACGCCTCGTCGAGAGCAAAGCCTCCGCTGAGTGGGCGTGTAATATCTCGCCACAAAGAGACATCGTCCAAGTATGTATTGCGTCCAGCCGTCCCGCGATCACTCCGTCCGGTCGTCCTGGTCATCCCGGTTGTCCCCGGTCCGGCAGGCCGTCGCGGACAGAGGCGCGGCCGCCAAGCGGTTGCTGAGCCCGCCGAGCCACTCATGACGGCGCGTGGGGCGTGGCGCGTGGGGCGTGGCGCGTGGGGCGTGGGACAAGGGGGCAGTGTCCAGCCGCCGCCGGCCGCGCGGTTCCAAATCCCAGACGCCCCCCAAGGCGGTGTGCGCCCTCAAGTAGGGGCCTGCTTTCCACAGAGACCGAATGACATAATGGCACTATCGGCGGAGAACTTTCAACGCCAGCCGAACTTTAAACTGTTGCTGTTTTCAGTCAGTTCTTGATCCGCTGGCATAGTTTACTTCCGCCACCACTACCGCGCAAACTACTCCTCGCTAGCCACGGCGACGACCTCCACCCACTCTACTCATTATGAAGGCACTCACGGTTGAACTCGTGCCCCAGGCACGCCTCCCACTCCAGCCTGGAGATGATCTTGTTGCCGTCCATGTCGCAGCGGCGCGTGAAGGTCCGCGCGCACGGCTTGGGCGGCACCATCTTGCGCACCACGCGGCGCAGCTCCTGGTACTCGGGCCGCCGGAGCAGCCCGTCGCCGTCCTTGTCCAGCTCGGCGAACTTCCACTCCAGCACGCGGTGGTCCATGTCGGGGCCGGGGCCTGGGCCGGGGCCGGGCCGCGTCTCTGGAACGGCAAGAATACTCGTCAATCCCAAATCCCGAGGGTTGGACTGCTCACAGAATAAAACTCGCGCGCTGCGGCACGCCGTCGCACCACTCACCCGAAGCCAGCGCGGCGCGCCGGTACTCGGTGCGGAAGATCTTGATGAGGTTGTTCTTGAAGTGGGCGCGCTCGCCGCGTCCGCACGCGCGCCGCTGCCGCCGCCAGGCCCTGGGCGACGACGGGGACGCCGACGAGCCGCGCGGCCCGGAGCCCCTGCGCGTCTTGGCGGGGCGCGTGCAGTTGGGCCGGCGCCCCTTGACGGCCGTGTGCGGCACCTGGCGGCCCTGCGGCGTCACGCACCAGCAGTAGCCCGACAGGTCGTGGCACTGCAGCGGCGAGTACGAGCCGTCGCCCTGGCACTGCGGCAGGAACACGTTGGACGCGTAGCCCGCGCGGCCCGCGCGCCGCCGGTACGACAGGCACGGCGCGTGGTCTGCAACAAAGAGCACACCGTCAGAGTCCTAGGCCTGGGAAGGTTGCCGACGCTACGCCAGCTGCAGGCTGATTTGGAGTTTTCTTCGCTCTGTCTCTCTCGCACCCACAGGGGAGGTTCGGTGTGCGCGAGGGGGACACGACGTCTGTCCGGGATCGATCTGCTGGCCTTGGTGTGCAAAATAAAGAAACCGCGCGGTCGGTTACCCCTTCCCGAAATCTCAGGGTGGTGCGCGGTGCAGGCCAATAATTCTCTTATTCGGCCGCGCGGTCGGACCGCAGGGCGTGCATGGCGTGCATGGCGAGCGCGTGCGCGGCGTGCGCGGTGTGGCAACGAGCACGATAAATTCCGAGTGACAGCGCGATCGGACTGGCCGGCTGGCCGCCCCGGGCCCGGCGGGGCTTGGCGGGGCTTGGCCGCGCCCCCAAGATTTTGCTGGGAGATGCGTTGGCCTTCGCGTGCACCGCCCGCCCCCGCCCCGTCCCCGCCCCGCCCCCGCCCCCGGCAGTGCCGAGGGCCCTCGGTAACCGCAGCCTTGGGTTCGACTCCGCCTTTCCCCGAGGCGTTTTCCCGTTTTCCTCGACGCGGTGTTGATACGTTCGATTAGTTCGCCCGCAGCGCCGAGGGTTGGTCGCTATCGGCGAGCTCATCAACGGGGGCGTGCCGCGTGGACCAGCGTCGAATTCTCGGAGGCGTTTCCGGCCGATTTGGACTCCGCGGACGCCGCGGACGGTGAGGGAGGTCTCTCGCTCGGAATCAGCGCGCTGCGGGCAAGCCGGGCAAGCTGATGCGCTGCGCAGGTGACGACGGGGACGTCCTGCACGGCGCGGCGGGGCGCGGGGTGCGGGGCACGGGGGCCGGTGGGGAGCGCGGCGGCAGACAGCGTGTCGCCTGGTGGCGGGGCCGGCACGGCATCTCGTATTCCGGCCCCACCCCCCACCTCGCCCCACCTCGCCCCACCGGTCTCACGGAGGATGAGAGAGTTCCGCGTTGAAGGTGACTTAGGACCGTGCTTGACGGCGTGAAGGCGTGAAACTGTCTGCCCTGTCCGGCCGGCCGGGCCCGTCCACAAGAAATATACTGGACGAGGCCTGCGAATGCATGTTACGGCGTTAAACTGTCCTCGTGTCCTCGTCGGACGTCGTCGGACGGGGCGGGGACGGCCGCGGAGGACTCCTACAGGACCACATGCCATTGCCTCGCATTACGTCCCCCCCCCCTCCCCGCCTCCGGGAGAGGCTCTTTGTTTTTGAGGACGGCGGCCCGGAGCCGAGCAGGGACATCAGGGGCTTCTGCGGGAATCGCTTCTTTGACCCCTGCGTGAACTTGACCTCTCGGCGTGCCCGGCCGCCCGGTCGCCCCGAGGCACGCGGTGGCCGTGGGGGGCTGGGCGGGCTGGGGGCGGACACGGCCGTTTTGGGCTTTTGGGGGAGGAATGTCGCCGACGCGGCGGTAGTGGACGTGGAGGAATCCGCTGAGCTGTCCGCTTCCCGCGGGTGTCGGCCCCTCGGCCCGCCGGCTCGGGTAGACCGCCGTCCTGCCGCTGAAGCCCGTCGCGAGCGATCCGGAGGGTCGCTGTCTCTATCGCACTCATGGGGTTCTGAATCGCTCGGCCGACGATGGGCACACTTCGGGATGAACGACCCTCGACGGCCCTTGCCTTCGAGGATCAAGCATGGATCAAGGCGAGGGGGATGGTGCTTGAGATGAGCCACTTTCAACAATGATGCCTTGCTGGCCCGAGGGCAGCGCGTAGCAGCGCGTAGCCCTGCCTCCACCCCATAGGGAAAGGCCGCTGTTCCTCGCAAGCTCGCCCTCCGCGCTGGAAGCGAGTGGAAGCGAGCCGGTGCGCCTGCGCGTTGTTTGGCTTTTGGCGGGGCATGCATCGCATGGGCGCAGGGCTGGCGTCGCGTCGCGGGGGTTTTCCCCGTTTTCCCCACTTTCACCGCTTTCCTTATCCGAACCGCGAACCGTGCCGCAGCCCGCGCGGCACACCCCCTTACGAGTGTAGCTTGCTGCTGTTCCCGTGGGACCTCCGCTGAGCGGCTCGAAGGCTGGAAGCCGTGGAGGGCACGCGGAAGGACACTGCCGCTGGTCCTCGAGGAGAACGACGGCACAGGTGCGGTGCCTGCGCTGCACGTGTGCGGCAAGGGGCGGGGAGGGGGGAGGGGGCAGAGACAGTAAATCTCGGGGAGGTGTTTGCTTGCGAGGAATATTGGCGGCTCTGTGTGCACGCACCTGACGCACCCCCACCCCGCCCCCGGTAGTGCATCCACTGCATCCTGCGTGCAGCCAGGCCGTGGACCGGCGCGGTACATCACCACCCCGCCCCGCTCCACTCCGCCCCGCACATCCCATGTCTTGGCGGCGGCGGGGCGTCCCCCCTCTCTCCACCGCGCCGAGCTCACCGGGCCGCCAGCCTGCCGCCAGGGCAGCAGCAGTCCCAGACAGCGTGGCACCAGTCGGCACCTCGACTAGGGCTGCCGACAGCGGCAGCGCGCCGCGCACCTGGCCGCCGAGGGCCGCCGCTCCTTGCTGGAGTGAGGCGCTGGAGCGGGGCACCCCAGAGGATGCACACACCTTCCAGCAAGCTGGGTCCCAAAAGTCGTTTCGTAGCTCTGTCTCTCTCGCATGCAGACGGAACACCCCGTGCGAGAGAGACGGCACGTCGGCGTGCCACTTCGTTTCGGGAGGGTGATAATTAGTCGAGCTTCACCGGGGCGTCAATGGCTCGTTGGCCCACACGTCGACGTTCACACGGTCAGCCTAGGACGCGGGGCGCGCGGGCCGTCGGGGTGGGGCGGCCGGGCCAGGGCGTTACGGCCCTGCGTGTGAAATACGAGCTCCACGGCGGTACGGGGTGGTGGCGGTGCCGCTGTGCGTGTCCTGCGGGGATGGCCCCCACTGCGGTTCCTGGCAAGCCAGAGTCAAGCCAGCGGCCGAGGCAGCCATGGCGTGGCGAAGGCGTGAGTGACAGACGACCCATAAAATTCAGCTCCCAAATCACCGAATTCTTCGGTTCGGTAAGGCGATCCGTGCCGACGCGGCGACAGGTTGCGGACAGGAACGCGAAAAAGAGGATAAAAATGATGAGAAATGGCGCGGCCGGATGAGTGATAGTCGTCGAAGCGCGCGGCCCGTGTGCGCGGCCGGCCGTCGGAAGGACGCGGCTTCCAAGAAATGGCCGGGCTTTACGACGAAGACGCTCGCCGGGCCGGGCGGGGCTCGAACCGCCGACCCTCTCTTCTCTCACTCACCCTTGCACTTGCCGCGGTGTGCCATCTCCACGGTGCTGCCCTCGCACTGCACGCGCTTGAGGTGGCACTCGTTGTCGTAGGTGGTGTTGTCGGAGCCGCAGACGGGCCGTCCGGGCCGGCCGCCGGGGACCGGGCCGGGGCCCACGCGGCCCGCCAGCAGCGCCAGGTCCGCCTCGCAGCGCGACTGCTCGCGGAGGCAGTCCTCGGCCGAGCTCTGCAACAAGGAGAACGAGAAGCACGCCGTGAGCGTCGCGTAGCGTCGCGCGTCCAATCGGCGTGGCGGCGCGTCGGGCCGCGTGCGCCGTGCGCCGCGCTCCGGGCGCATCAGATCGCGGACCGTTATGGCCGCCGTCGACCGCCGTCGGCGAGGCAGGCGGGCCTCCAGGCCGCCGGCATTCCTGCGCGCCGCGCCCTGGTCGAGGCCCTGGTCGAGGCCCTGGCTGAGGCCCTGGCGGAGTAGCCAGGACGGCCGCGCAGGGCTGCGCCGGGCTCAAGGGATTCCTCGCGATAAGGACCGCTGCACAAACGGGGGCGGAGTGTGGTGTGTACTACGGCAAATAGCGCCTCCCCCCCCGCGCGATCGCGAGCATCGGGATAAAAGAGCAAACAGGCGGCAGGCGGCGCGGGCCGCGGGCAGGTCAGGACAGGACTAGACGCCTGCATGCATGACGCAACTGCGGCGCGTGCATCGACAGAAGATAGTACGGATGGACGGTGACTAGTCCTAGCCGGGGTGCCCCTGTCGCGTTGTGCAACTCCCTTCGCGATCTCCTATGATCCACTAGACGCCTCGGCCCTGGCAATGCGTGCAGCCGGCATCACCGCCCAGTGCGGCCGTTTTGGCGCGAAAATGTCCCCGCGGCCTGGATGACGGCACGGCGCGCCTTGCGGCCGCGACACCTGACCGCACCAGTAAGTGGCCACGCAGACCCACCGCAAGTAGTACCCGCCTAGTCCGCCTAGACCGCCTCGCGGTGTGAGTCACCGGCAGAAGGGGAACGAACACTCATCTGCGGAGTGTCGTCGGGGGCCTCCGAATCGACGCGCCAAGACGCGTGGAGACTTGAACGCATTCCAGGATTCAGCACCCCTATCTCCCTGATCGGCACGGCCTCGCTGGGGAAGTGCTGAGCCGCTTCCGCTGCGCTTTGCGCGCTTTGCAGTGTGGTCGCGGAGAGCGGCAGGCGCAGGCTCGGCCGCCGGACGACGGGCGAGTGTGGCGGGCGGCCTGCCCTGCCGGGGGTTCCACAACGCGTTTTGTCCCCTTTTGTCGTTCTGACTGTACTCACCGCGTTGAAGGGTGCGTCCAGCGGCTGCAGGGTGGTGGCGGGCACCTCCGTCTCCAGGGCGGGCCAGCCGTCGGACTCGGCGACGGGCAGGGCCTCGGCGGCGGCGGCCAGCACCACGCAGGCGGCCAGCACCACGGCCACCGCGCACATCCTGCTGCCGGCGGTGAGCACTCGGAGGGCGGGCAGCGTCAGGGTCAGCATGTCCACGGGCATGGCCGGCGTGGCGCGGCGAGCATCCTCCACCCTGGCGAACAAGAGCAGCGGGTTGGCGCAGGACTGGCCGCGGACTCGCGCGCCTCGACGGAGGCCTCTTCCTTTTACCGGCGGCGGGGTGCAGGGGTGGGGGCGATAGCAGCGCTTCCTCGCTGCCCATCGGCGTGGGCGTGCAGGATCACCAGGGGCGGGAGCGGCGGGAGGGGGTTATCTTCCGCGGGTTACATTCACGAAACGGCTGCCGGGCTGCGCCGGGCGACGCCGTGCGTCACGGATCCACGGCACACCGGTGCGCCGGGCGGGGCCGGGCGGGAGGCCGGTGGCAGCCGGTAGCCATGGCGCCACTAATCAAACAAAGAAGCTCTTGTTGGCTTCCGGTCGGGCCAGAGTCAGGGGGCTTGCGGCTGGGGGGCTTGCGTCAGGGCAGGGTGCAGGGCGGCGCAGGACGTGCCGGGTATCAGTGGCGGCGCTCAAAAACGAGATTCTAGCACGCCGCCCACGCCGCCCACGCCGTCAATGGCCATGGTTCGCTATCTCCTCCGCGCCTGCGACCCCCCCCCCTCTCACCTGCGAGGGGTCGTCAGCCTCGCGGGGGCCCTAATGTCGCCACAATGCCTTCGGCTTTCATCAAGATACTGTATACAGATTAGACAGCTTTGAGTTTCACAAATTTATGCGTAGCATTTTAAAGCCAAGAGGCAAAAATGAGAAATTTTTTTTTTGGGATCGCAGACTGGGCGTCTGCTTGTGGCCAGTCTCGCCACGAGGGCCAGGGCCAGGACCGGCACCGGCAGCACTCGACCGCTCGCCATGGCCCCGAACGTCGCGTCGCCGACGGATAGAGGGCCGCTTTGAGGCGCCCGGCGTGACCCAGTGCACGGAGTGCACCGCCAAGGTCTTCGGGACGTCCTCCACGACGGTGGCCGTCGGCTCGAGAGACGCCGAGACAGTCCAGCGGTCGAGTGGACGCTTCGCGACGACGGGTGGCCGACGACGACGGCCCACACACGCGCGCCGCGCGCCCCCGAGCACCGCGTGAGGCTGCGTGCGCGCCAAAGCGTCCGCCACGTCACCGTCACGGTGTCACGGTGCGTCCCGCCCGCCCACGGCAGTGTCCGAAAATAAACAATCTTAGCATACGCCACGAATGTCTCCGAGAATAACTCGCAGCGCTTTATCCTTTATCCCGGTGCGCATGAATGGGCGACGCGACTCGCCAGCGCCTCTCCCTCCGCTTTCAAAGTGGCCGGCGCTCCCGCTTAAATCAGTCCACCCCCACCCCACTCACTTTTAAATGTTTTTCCGTTCATCGTATCGCCGGGCTCCATCTCGTCGCGCCGCCCGCCGCCACGCCACGGCGCGCCACGGGGCAAGGGGCGTTGTCCGCGGCGGACCAGGGACCGACTGCCGCAGGGAAGTCCGCGCCGCGCCGCGCGCCTCCTTCAAGACGGTTCCTATTCCGGGGCCGGCCGCCCCCTTGCCCGCCCCCTTGCCCGCCCCCAGCCGGCCCCAAGCCCGGCCCCAGACAGAACGAGACGCTCCTTGACGAGCCAGCCCGCCATCTGGTCCGCGTCTAGGGCGGCAGCGGTGATTTGGGTCACTGAGACACTGAGACACTCGGCGTGGCGCGGAGTGGTGGATTAGGGATTCCCGCCGAGTGGCCGCGCAAGTCGCGCAGGGGTCGCGGGGCGTCGCGGGCAAACCACTTTGGCACGCGACTCTGGTGAGTCAAATCGCTGTCTCGGCTGTCTTTCTCTCCCACACTGTGGCCGCCCGGGCTTACCTCTGCTGCATCACACACGTGCCCAACATTGAAACGGTTCGCGGTTCGCGGTGTCAGCTGGCGCCAGGCGCCCCATGACTCCCGCCCGAGGTCGTCCTTCTCGTTCGCACCCCGATTTGCATCTCAAAGGCTGCGCAGGATGGAGGAGCTAGGGAGCCATCCGGGCCAGCCCGCGCCGCGGACGCCCGGCCTGGAGCACGCCGAGCACACCGACGCACAGTGGGCCAGAGGACCGGCGACGGCGGCAAGACGCGTCTTGAGCTCTAGACTCACTAGACAGGACTCGAACAGAGCGTGTGACCCCACCAATGGATTCCTCGGTCGGAGAGCAATCCATTAGCTAGTGGGGTCACACGTTCGGTTCGAGTTCCATGCCTACATAGAGCTCAAAACACGTCCGGGGTTTCGACCGCCGCGGCCCACTGTTTGACGCCGAGGTGCAAGAGTCCAAGACTGGCGGTCGTTGTCTCGGGCGGACTCTAGCCTTGCACAGCGACGCAAAGACTACAGTGTAGGTGGAAATGCAACATGGGGCCCTAAGTCCTCCGAAACGGCCTTACGTACATGACGTAATACGACGTGTTACACAGCGGCACGAAAGCGTGCTCGGCCCCGACGACAACGCACCGAAGCGCACCCGGCCGTGGAGCCCTGTGCAGCCGCACCCTGCCGTCGACGGCCTTTGAACACCTGCAGCGCTTCCGAGAAGGCCCCGCGCGTCGCTGGCACAGCAGCCGTGCAGCGGCCGTGCAGCGGCGAGGCGAGAGGCGAGGCGAACGCGGGGGGCGGGGCGCGGCGCGGCGGCACACTCGTGGCACACCCGCCGCAGCTCTCGCGCTCGGGCACGCGACGCTGCCAGACGAAAATGACGCATTGGGCGATTTCAAGCTGTCTTTTCAATGGCCATAACTTTTACCAACACGAAAATCACTATGATATAACGATCGGTTCCGGTTCGTTGCAGCCTAGAAGCTGGCCTCTGAATAGGGAATCGACGACTCTACGCCCCCGGCCGATGTAGTGGCGTGGTCTGGCCTGTCCGACGCAGAGGCGGGATGGAGGTTCGACGGGACGGGAGTGCCCCTCGAGGACTTTGGGTTCGGTCCTGGAGGCGCGCCCTCCACTCGGCCTGGTTCCCCTGGTTCAAGCTGAAGGTTTCGAGGCCGAGGCCGCCCCAAGAATGCCTTCCTTATTTACTGACATCGCCGAGAAGCGGCGAAGCGGGGCGACGCGGGGCGGGGAAGGGGGGGGGGCGTCGCCTCATCGGTACCCGGCCGATAGACAACGGGGCAAAAAGCAGCAAAGTGTGTATTTGTTGATCGGGGCAAAGTGAAATCGAGAGATACCGACACAGATTGGCGGCCCGTTACGGCACGGAGCAGGGCCACAGTGCCCCGCAGCAGCGCGGCGGCAGAGCGGCCTCAGTCTCCACCGAGAAGACGGGACGCGAAGTCTCGCCCCCTTGGCCTGCGCCGCCCCGCCCCTGCCGCCATCCAACACTTGTTTCGAGATGCATGCCAAAGTCCTCGCCGCGGCGATGCAGCAGGAACGCGTCACGCTGCGTCACGCATCACGCACGGGCAAACCCCTGCCGCGCCTGCCGAGCCACGGCGTCGTTGACGGCCAGGCTTGGCACGGCCGTGTCCCCTCGGCAGCACGCAGCACGCCCGGCTGCGCGATGCATACGCAACGACGCGCCCCAGTGCCCCCGGTCTAGTGGCCCCGGTCCGCGCCGCGGGGCAGGGTCACGTTAGGTCACGTGACACACGCGCGCGTGCGAGCGCCGCGGTGCACCCGATGCACACGCGGACTCCGCGGACCTAGGAAACGTATTTTAAGACCTTCGGCGGGAGCAGCGGCCGCGGCACCGCAGAGGCGGACTGGCAGAGCACGCGTCCCCGATTGGACTGGAGGCTGACAGCCTCGGCCAGCCTCACTGACGAACACACTTGTTTTCAATCTCGTCGCCACGCCGTGCTACGTCGTGCTACGCCGGCCGGCGGGGGGCATCGCGGGGGACTGCAAAGCGGGGGGGAGGGGGGCTGTATGGGCACGGCTGCCTGGGATGGGACAGCTGTCAAGAGCGCCTTCCGGCCCAACGGGCTCTGCTCTGTGCTCCGCACCGCACCCGCGCACGCGGACGCCGCGGCCGCGAGAGTGACGGCCGCACCCTGTCCTCCGAGCACCCTGCCGCGCGCCGCGCACCGGCCAGGGCCGCCAAACGGTTTGCTTCCGATGCCACATCGCTGAAAGGAAGGCAGCACACCGACAGCCAACCCCCAGCCACCCTCCGAAATGGTCCACGATTCGGCCCTTGAAATCAGCGGCGAAGCCGTGTACGTCCGTCATCGTGCGACTCGCGGAAGTGCCTTTGGTTCGCGTCCCGCACCGCACAGCGCACAGCTGACTCTGGCTCTGGCGGTGGCCGGGGGGTGGAGGCCGTGGAGGGCGGCGCTCGGCCCTCCCCGGGGTTGTGACGCGCGGTCTACGTACCGACGTGACGTGAGAGCGGCTGACGGCGAGCTCTTGGTGGCTGACGGCGGGTTGACGGCGGTTTGACGGCGAGCTCTCGGCGGCCTGATGGACTGGCGGGGTGCGCGATGTGCAGCGCGATGTGAAGCACGATGCGGCCGGCCGGCGTGCACGCTACGCTACACTGCTACGCGACTACGGGGCTCTTGCTTCTGCTCCTGCTTCGCTCTCACTGCTTACTACTTAGACACGCTGCCGCCGTGCCGCCGTGCCGCCGTGCCCCGGCCTGCTGCCCCCGCTCCGCTTGCCCGCTGGGCTGGGCTGGGGCCCCTAGCCCCTACCGCGGGACGGGACGCGGGCTGGGCTGGGCTTCGGGCTTGGGGCTCGCTCAGCTCGGATGGGCCGGGATGGGCTCGGCCGCACGGCGTGGACGCCCCGCCCCCGCCCCGCCTCCAACCCTCCTCCACCCCCACGCCAGTACCCCCCCCCCCCCCCCCGCGCAGAGCCCCCCCGGCCGCTGTCCGAATGTCTGCCGAGTGGTTCGTCCACCGTCCACTGTACTGGTGTATGTATCGCCTTCCAGCTGTGCCCCATGTCCCCGTGTCCGTGGCCCGCGGCCCGCGGCCCCTCGGGGGTTGGCCGCTTGGCGGCCGCGGCGCGTCTGCAGCCTGATAAGCCCCACGCCGACGGCCAGCCAGCCAGCCAGGTGGGCTACGCGAACGCAGGGCGAACGCAGTGCGAACGCACCCAGACCAAGGCACTGCATGTGGTCGACGGCGTCCTCGCGTCCTTCCTCCGCGCAGAGCAGCGCGACGCGTGGCCCCGGTTCGTCGGCCACCGTGCGCACGCACGCGTTGCACCGCGTCAAAGGGGATTACTCGAAGAAAGCCTTTCTCGAGGAGGGCGCGGTGCGGCGCGGTGCGGCGCGGTGGGCACGACGACGAGGAGGTCCAGGAGGTCCTTGAGCCGCTGTCCGGCTGGCTCTGCTCCTTGCTCGGCTCCTACCACCGTCGCTGCAAATGAATCGGCTCGGATTAGGCATCGCTGGCGAAGCGAAGTGAAGCGAAGTGAAGCGAAGTGGTGACCGCTGTCCGCAGTACTCGCGGGGCTTGCCGGGTTCGCCGCTCAGGACGCACCGCACTCCTCGCGCAAGACTCAAGGGCGTTCAGGCCGCCCACACACGCGCGGAGGCCGACCGATTCCAAAAAGTCGTTCCGTCGCTCTGTCTCTCTCACACCCCGATGACACGCAACGAGAGTGCGACAGAGACAGAGCGACGAAGCGACATTCCTGAAGCGGCCTGCAGCTGGATGGGTTCCCTGCAGGCCGCAGGTCAGAAAAACGCCCCGTTCAGCGCTCTTCGCTACGCAGCTCCCCGCCCCGCCCCGCCCCGCCCCGCCCCACCCTTCTCCTCGCTGCAGTCCTCGGCCCTCGGCTGCCCTCGGCTGCCCTCGGCCTGAGTAGAGCACCAGCCGCTCTCGAGCCCATTGTGATCCGACAGAATCTTTTGCACATCAAAATGCAAAATAACGGCTGCGGATCTGTTTGGTCCCAGAGTTGGAGGAGGGGAAGGGGGGGGGGGGATCCTTTGAGTGGCGTGGCCGTCCGGCAAAGGAGCAAGGCCAGGTGAGGGAGGGCTGCGGGGGCGGGGAGGAGAGGGAGGGAGGCGGAGGAGCACTCAGGTGGGAGGGAAAACAGAGGCAAGGGAGAGCCTTTATCTTGGGCGTGAAAACACAGCGGCCAGCCCAGCCTGCAGGCCGGCGCATCCCCAACAGGTGCACCCATCATGGACACCACGGACTTGGCCACCACGGACTCGGCCACCACGGACTCGGCCACCACGGCCAGCGGATTGCCTTGCCTTGTCTTTGTTGCCGCGGTGCTTGGATAGACTTGGCGGTGCCGCGGTGCTTGGACGAGGCTTAGCGAAGCCACTTGAATTGCCTGATTCGACCCACCCCGCCCCAGCTACTGTCTTTTTGGCTTTTGGGGGCTGGTTTTGAGGCAACCGCACTGCTAGGGCGGTGCGGGGCATGTGGTGGGCAGGGGCGGGGCAGGGCGGGGCAGGGCGGGGCAGGGCGGGGTGGCCCGGCGTGCAGGGTTGCCGCCTCGGACTGCGGTCCATGAGGCCCCCGCCGCCCCGCCGCTCGGCCCCGCGGTGGGCCAGCCTTCGGCCTCTTCGACCGCTTCGGCCAGCCTAGAGAGCTACAGGGCGGTGCTGGCGATGCTGGCGATGCCGAGGCGACTCTGCCGGTCTCGAGAGCCTCGGGGCCTCGGGGCCACTCGGGGCGCGCCGGCAACGTTGTCTGGCCGTCCCAGACGGCGCGGCACCAGTCGGCAGGGCCGCTAGTGCTGTTGGAGCTTGGAGCAGCTTGGAGCAGCTTGGAGCCGGACACTGAGCACCGACACAGCAGCAGCAGCGAATCCAAACGCATCTATCGCCATTGCCCACGAACTTGCGGGCTGGCCCCCGGCCGGCACCGCACATCCAGAGTCCTAAAGTTACTCCTTTAGGCCTCTAAAGGGGTGGCTTCACATCTCGAAATGTCGACCCGGGGAAGCAAAGCCGTGTGAACTGTCCGTCGTAGCCAGCGACGTGTCTGCGCTCCGCGCAGCCCCCCGCGCGGCAAGGGGCGGACGGGCCAAAGAGGCCGAAGCCAAAACTCGCCCATTCGCCCATTTTCATTTCGGCCAAATGACGGAACGATGGTGGTCCAGTCCGCCGCGAGGTTTCCCCACGCTCTGCCCTGCCATGCTCCCCCGGGGGACTCCGGGGTTATTCCACTCCAGTCCACCGCGCGGCAAGTCACTACTCCGCCCCGCCCCGCCCGCACTACATTCTCGCCTTGTGGCGGCGTTCCGCGTACTCCGCGCACTCCGGTGAAGGGAGGAAGCGCGGTGAAGTGGGCTTCCCGGGCCTGCACAAAAACCCTGTCTCGGAACTGCACGCCCATTGTTGAACCGGCGAAGACCCGAGTTGGTCATAGCATGCATTGGGGGCGGGGCGGGGCACCAGGAGGGATCCGCGCTTGGTACTCGCATGGTACTCGCTTCGGGCCAGGGTGCGCGCGTTTCTTGGTCAGAGTGTACGAGTTCGGCGCTGTTGCGCCCTGACAGCGGCGCGGCCCACCTTGGCTAGGTCAGGCTAGGCTTGCCCCCATTAGTGGGACAACCGCGGCGATGACATGGGCTGCAGAGCGCAGAAGCCGAATGCAGAGCACACCTGGTGCTCTTTCCTTTATCGCCCCTTTTTGCCCGGGAAATGGAAAGGGGCTGCTGCCGGCTGCGGCGGTGTTGCGGTCTGCGCACAGATTTGTCGCCCTGTCTCTCTCGCACGCATAGGGAACGCCCCTACGAGTGCGAGAGAGACAGAGCGACGACTGCAGTCCACTGCTGGTCGGGGAGGTGCCAAACGCAGCCCGAACGCCGAACGGAACGGAGTGTTGCCACGGCTGCGGGCCGCGGAACTCATAGCGATGTCCCCCGGACACCGCCCCGGCCTCATGACGGGGCGCAATCCGATCCCCGCTGCACTGCCATTCCGAGTCGGAGGTCTCTCTCTCTCACACTCATGGGGAGTCCCGTCTGCGCGCGAGAGAGACGCACCGACGGCTGCCCTCATGGCTGCACGCGCGGCACAATCGCAGGTGTCACGTGTGGGTGGGAACGCTCCATACGGGAAAAGAACGAGTCGAGCGCGGTTTGCGTAGTCTGCGTGTGGCGAGTTGTTGCAGTCGGCAGCGGGGAAGGCCCTTGTTTTGAAAAGCGAGGAGTGGAAAGCGAAGCGGAAAGGAATGGCATCATCCACCGCGCATCGGGCTCGCCGTGCAGATAGGCCACCCAACGTGCAGCGCTGCCAGCGTTCCGCCAGTCAAGCCCGTGGTCAAGGTGCGGGCTGTGCCTTTCAAAGTAGCTTCGACATCTCCAAATTCTGTCGAAATGAGCGCAACTTCAATCCAAAAGCACTTTTTCTGGTTTGAGTTGTATTCGTTCTCTTGTCGTTCATACATTTAAATACTTCAGGTTGGCTGCGAAGAGACGGGCAGCCTCGCGGGGATGAAGTGCTACCAACATGTTACATCAAGTTGCATCATGTTCCATCGACCGCAGAGGAACAGTTTTGAGTGACGCGTGATTTTCACTCCGCGCCAGTTGCGAGTGCGTGTTGGGAAGGACGAGTCTTTGTCCGCGGTGTTCGAAGTTCGAACTTGCGGCGTCCTTCGCGCGTCGATCGGTGGCGCGTTGCGTTGGTTGCGTTTCCCCTGCCGCTCACACGCGACAGTGGCGCGGCGCTGCGGCGAGTCCGGAACTAGCAGAAGCGGCTTGCGAGACGACAGCGTCCATCTTCTCTCCGACGAAATGACAAAGCCTCCAGAGACATGAAGACGTTTTCGCCCTAAATTTGAAAAGAAAGTTGCCGTTTTTACGTTGGAGTTTTGGCCGGCACCACCCGTAACCCAAGGAACCGACTGAGATAGAAGAGGAGTGCCAGAGGCGAGCGTGACGACGGAGGAGAGGAGGAAGCGGCGCGCAGGATCTGTCTCCTTTGCCGCGTTCTCGTTCGCGTCCTGTGAGGTGCGCTTATCAAACTTCTTTTCTTTTAGTGGTTAGTGTCTTTGCCGGTCGCGCGGCGCCTTGTCGTTGGAAGTGGGGCGTTAGTTACCAGTGGACTTTTTGTGGAGCTCTTACCTTAAAGTGCGGGTTTAGCCTCAGCCCCACCCAACCGGTGGCGTCGGTTCTGGGCCGGGCCGTTGTCTTCTAGCGTGCTGTTGTCGTAAGGCTGTCTGGCTGGACTGAATCATTGACTCCGGACCTCCGTTCAGTTCTGAATCGTCATGAGCCTGGCTCACAGATCTGACAGATTTCCCTTTCTCGTTTAAGCCACGCCCCTAGCTGAGCTGAGAGATCTGGTGGTAGTCTCAGCTTGTTTTTATGAAAGTCCAGCCCATGAGAACTGCCTCCTAGCCGGTAGCCATGTTGTGTAAATCGTCCTGTTTAGCCCTTGTCTTGTGGCGTCCCGTCGTCCCGTCCCTTAGCGAATTGCTGCTTCTACTCGGGGGGATTTTCCTGGCAGATGTTAATTTCACTCAATGGTTGGGGGAAGATTTCTACAAGCATTTTCCAAATCCCCACTGAAGAGACTCTGAATTTGCTTCCTGCTTAGACCTTTCTTTTGTGTGGCCCTTCATTGTTGAGCGAATTTCCTGATGTTATGTATTAATAATATTGTTCAAATTTCAGATACTAGAAACATGACTTCGATAGATGCTGAGCAGTTCTCCCTTAGGTGGAATAATTTCCACAACAACCTAACAGCAGGTTTCCATGACTTGCTCCTGGGAGAAGACTTAGTGGATGTTACGTTAGCTGCTGAAGGAAAATTTGTCCAAGCACACAAAATGGTTTTATCTGTGTGCAGTCCTTACTTTAAAGACTTATTCAAAGTAAGGCCAATACACCATTTTTACATTATTGTACTGCTTTGATGGGTTTTAGAATAGGTTTATTAACTAGAATCTTTGCTTGCAGGTCAATCCATGTAAACATCCAATTGTGATATTGAAAGACACGGGTTATAAAGAATTGGAGGCATTACTTCAGTTCATGTATCGGGGAGAGGTTAATGTTAGGCAAGAAGAATTAACTATGTTCCTAAAAACAGCTGAAATGTTACAAATTAAAGGTCTCACAGGAAGTGACTCTAATAAGGTACCCATCAAATCAACATTTAAGCTGCAAATTAATTAATGTATTGCAATTATTGACAATTTTAAAACTGTTTCTTATGTTCAGGACTCAGCTGAGCCCCCTGTAAACAAAACTTCATCAAATTCAGCACCCTCAAGAACACATTCTTTACCACAAGATACGTCAACACATCCACCACCTAAGCGCAAAAGATCTGAAGCTCCCACTCTACCTTCTACCTCTGCTCCCAACACCCCTTCTCAATTAGTTGATGTAACTCCTCAGACACCCCCAGAAAGCTCAGCAAATGACCAGGCTATTCAAGATGGCAATGATTTTATGAATATGATGAACCCCAAAATGGAACCACAAGACTATGATGAATCAGAAGACGGTCTGGATATGATGGCAGATGATTCAGTTGGTCATGATCCTCTAGTTCAACAACTTTTAAGTGGTGCTGATGGTCACAAAGGAAACTTGGCAGGTAATAATAACAGCAACAATAAAAAGAATTATGACATCAATACTTTTTTTAAACCTGCCTTTTTTTACCCAACATTTAATTTATGTAATGGAAATACCTTTTTTTATAGGACTTGGAAACTTCGTTGGACTACCTGGAATGAAGGATGGCAACATGGGACAAGATGGAGGTCAAGGTAGGGAAAAGAACAACATTATTTATCCCCATATTTATAAAAGAGAACACACAGTGGCATAATGAACTTCTGGGAAGTTAAAATATTTTCCTCTATCTCATTTTGGTGGACATAAAATTTGTCAATGCCACAGTGTGAGCACTGTTAAATTGCTCATAGTCAATGCATCGGCATCACATTTATTTTGTAAATTCCTGGGTTCAATGTTCAATAGTGATGATGATGGCTTTGATGCTTCGACTGAGCAGGTTGTAGTTAAAATTTCAATTTCAAATTTTAGGGCTTCCTTTCTTAGTATTTTGACTAACTTTTTGACCAATTTCTTGCCCATTATTGTACCTTGCATGCCAGAGAGGAAGCCATAGATACTTAATTCAGACAGGTATAATCTGGCAAATTCCTTCTCTCCCATCAACCCAACTATTGCCATAAATTTGCTAAAATGTACTCGCATGTGGTCAAAACAAATAGTAGGGTGGTACTTGACATCTTTTTATCACTGCCATATGACAGCAGGCAGATGCATAGTAATGTAAACTTTTCTTCAATATCAAAAGTAACAGTCATTTTTCACTATTCTGAAGTTGCCTTGCATCTTCCTGCTGCCAAATGCTGCAGCATGTTTGTTGGTCAAGCAAGCTGGTTGATGGTTCGTTCCCCATTACATAGTTTTGCTGTTGGTCTGTCATATGTCATTAGAATGGTACAACCCTTGTTATTGAGTGAGCGGAGGGTTGGTGGTGTCTTTGTCATATGTGCCTACCCCGGCCTGTTGCCCAATTTGAACCTGACAAGAGAAGCTCGTGACATCTCATTCTCATGCCTTATCTGTAGAAGATAGACTTCGACTTGGAATCATTTTGAGCAGCACTTGGACAGTTGATTGTCTCTGAAGCTCTTTAGAGTTTTGTGACAGGAGAGAATGCACAAAGAAGACTCAGTACTGAAAGACATTATACAGTATACATTTTAGGCATTCATTCGCATCACTTGCTATTGTACAATTTTGCCGCCATCGAATTGCATTAGACATTGTTCTGTTTCCCTTGTTCATTTTATTGTGTCACCTTCTATTTCATATGAAGGTTTACTTTCAGGAAGGCATCGTTGATTATTTGTTCAAATCTATTTTGAACTAGAGAAAATTTATTGATTGTTATTTCAGGGCATTTTAATAATTATTACAGATAAGTCATAAAATATTTAATTACTTAAAGAACATAAAAATTTGTCAACTAGTCAGAATTTTATATCTATTGATTTTACCATCATGTCAGCTCAATAATGTTTTCGATTGCATGGAAGGCAGTGGTAGTTAAGGATTATTTTTTTTCATCACAACCATGGCATTTGTTTTGACCACATTCGTGTATTTTAGTCTCAATAGAAATAGGGATTTTTTTGTACCCTTAAATTCATGGTACTGTCCAGTTGTTAATTTCCTAATTTGTATTTATCTCGAACAAATGGTATGGTTGGGGATGGAATATTAGAGCTGTTTTCTAACCCTGAACTCCATGCATTGCCAGTTTATGGATCTGTCTGGCAAAGTGCCTTTGTTTGCTGCATGATTGTTAGTCATCCGCATTGCGGTGAGGTGTAGGGGGCTGTCTACAGTGCATGTTTGGACACACTTTTGCTAAGCATCTGTGCTATACTTGATAGAGGTACATATTTTTCTGATGACTATGAAGAGGAGTGGTGTTGTGATAACGTCAATGGAATACAACGAATTTTTAACATCTTTTTTTATGGTAAGTGTCTTCTTAACCTAATATTTTCTCTATATCATGGCTCTGCTGCCATGTTAGGGCTGCTATGCGCATGAGGAAAAACACTATCTACTTTGAGACTGAAAGTATATCCATTAATATAATTGGTTGAAATAATTTTCATATATTTCTGTGCAATCTGTCACATTTTCAATAATTCTATTGAAACTTTGCCAACCACATACTCATAGTTAGGGGTAGAACAAGAACAACAGATTTGTGATGCCCTAAACATTTCTCTGAAGGGAATCAAGTTTAAAAAGTTCTGTTAAAATGGGACAGCCTTATCACCTTTGGTATTAAGTGGAACTTTGTATGATGTAAGATTTGTAACATGTATGATATTGTAAGATTTTGCTGATGTACGGCCTTGATTTCTTGTTGACACAATTTCATTATGTAATAGAAATGTGTTAAATGTTTGTTTGCAAATGTAGGTGAGGGAGGTAGTTATGGACTACGCAACAGAAGTTCAGGCGTTGGTTCCTTAGGAGAGGCTGTGGAGTTTGGAGGATTATTGCCTAAGAATGAAGGTATGCTTTCATAGTGTTCTGTTCAAATGTGAAGATAGCCTTAAAATTCAATAACTTCTTCAAAGATTTATGCCTGTAATTTCAACAGTGTGTTATTAAGAAATGATTTGTCTTTGAGTTGTTTTTGTTAGTCATAGCTTTAATTTCTGTGCTAGATCGATATTGGATCCATTCTTTTGGAAGAAACACACGGCTGCTGCATGAAGGCTACCTCTACAAAAAATACAACAGAACAAAAAAAGGCCTGATTTACTGGAAGTGTGTTTCAGCTGAGGATCATCTCTGTCAAGCTCGCTGCATCGTAGACAAAAGAAAGACACTAAAGCTCTTTGGACTGCTGCATAACCATGGTCCACATGATTATACTTGAATATCTTTTGCTGATTCCTCTTGTTGGAGTCTTCTCTTTCTCCCTTTTTTTTTCTTCTAAATTTCCTTCATATTACAAGGCACCACCACCAACAGTAGACTTCAAACTGTTGTCCCACAGTTAGTATAACACAAGTTGTGTTTTCATTTGCAGGTAGTACTCGTTGCAAAAACAAGTTAATTTACAACGGCTTTGTTTTCCACATCAACAGCCGAAGCCGGACTGGGGAACGTATTTATTGGACTTGCTCAGAAATTAATCGACAGTGTTGCAAAGCAAGGTGTACTACCATTGGACACAATATTTTCCCCAATAATTTTCCTCATACTCACCTACCACCTAGTAGTGTTGGGCCTTCCGAAAATCACATCTTTTATTGAAATGCTGTCCAGAGAGTTTTCTTTATTTTATAAGATTTTGTTTATTGACAATGTGCCTATTGCCATAGCAATTGTAACACGACAAGTGTAAAAATTTTGGCATTGCTGTTCATGCGTTTTTATGGCAACATGTTTACATTTAAAATTATTTGAATCATTGTCATAATTGTACAGTGCTAAAACACTGGATGCTCAGGTTGGGGTAGGCCGCTTTGGTTTCCCCCTCTCCTCAAGTCAGCATTGTATCCTTATTTGGAATTAAATGTGTTGCTCGGGATAATTGTCTCGTGGCAGCATTTTTTCCTCCCCCTCGCGAAGTCAGTCATGACCATGACAGAGATAACGACCTTGACGATGACGACCTAGCCTAGCTGTCGTCGACGGCCCACCAAAACTAGCCGCTCAGAATAACAAGGAGAGGGAACAGAGCCTGAGGCCAGCTGCTAAAGTGTGCTGAATGGTGCTGACGCTGGCTGACGGCGTGGTCCTGCCCTGCCCAGGTTACACGTTCGTGGCGAGCCGGACGGGCAAGCGGCAGTTGCTGGTGGGCGGCCACCTGTTCGGCTGCAAGGAGCAGCGCGGCGAGCGGACGTACTGGACGTGCACCGAGTACTACAAGTCGGGCTGCCCGGGCCGCTGCGTCACGTTCCGCGGCACGCTCAAGGTGACTGGCGGTCAGCACACCCACGCCGCGCAGATGCCCCAGTACAACACGTTCGCGTCCGCCTCCACCAACGCCCAGGAAGCCGCCGCCTCGCTGTGAGGGCCGCCACCACCGTCGCCACCATCAAGACCCAGTACCTCAAGTACCTGAAGCTGTTGCGGGTGTCCTAAGTGTGCACTGTAGACGCCCCCTGCCCCGCCCCGCCCCGTCCGCCCGCTCCGCTGTAACACCATCCCCGTTGCGTTCTAGGTGACTCGGAGGCACGCTTCCTGCGCACCAACAAGGGCGGCTTGCAGCTCGTGTACCGCGATTTCATTTACAACCAGGAGACGCGCATGGGCAGCAGGTCGGCGTGGAAGTGCATGGAGTACTTCCGACTGCGCTGCCGCGGCCGCTGCCAGACGGTTGACTTCAAAGTGACTAAAGTGACAGACACCCACTGCCACCCTCCCGTGCCCGAAATAATAAAGAAGAAAATGTCAGAGCGGCAAAACCAGCAGCAGTCTGCTTTCACTTAGGGGACCATCCACCAGTGCGCTAGGGCCGCTAGGGCCGGGGCCCGGCCGGGGCCGCTAGGCAGGGCCTTGGCCGTGTAGTTGACCCCCTCCCCATGTGTTTTGTAGGCACGGCCCCCGTGGCCGCGGCGGCTGGAGACCCCCCGACGCAGTTGGAGTTCCTTCGCAGCACCAAGGGCGGCGTGCAGCTGGTGCTCAACGAGTTCATGTACTATAGAGGGGAGGCCCGGGGCGGCAGGGTGACGTGGCGGTGCATAGACTACCAGCGGCTGCGCTGCAAGGCGCTGTGCTACACGCTGGACGGGCGCGTGACGCGCATCTCGGGCGCGCACGAGCACGGCCTGCACACGGACACGATCCGCAAGCGGCGCGAACGCCAGGACCTCCTCTCGACGCTGCGCACCGTGTCCGAGCAGGTTGGCCAGGGCCAGGGCCAGGGCCACCTGAATCTGGGCAACCTCGCCCTGGGGCCGGGGCCGCTGGGGCACCTCCAGGACGAGCAGCCTGGGCCGCGCGGGCAGGCGTGGCACGTGTAGCGCTAATGGCTGTGCCTATGCTCTGTGTTATTGTAGGTTCGGACAGCCTCGACCCCGGCCAGGGCCACGATGATCTAGTGGTGGGCGGGGCCGGCGGGGCGCGCGAGGCGCGGTACTGCCGCACGCGGAAGGGCGGGTTCCAGCTGTTTTACGCGGGGCACGTGTACAACCGGGAGGACCGCTACTGGACCAAGATGATCTGGAAGTGTTCAGAGTACAGGCGCTCCAAGTGCAAGGGGCGCTGCCAGACGCTCAACTTTGAGGTGGTCAAGTGCACGGGCGAGCACAACCACGAGCCGCGCGATGTCTTGGTCGACGTGGAGTGGCTTGAGCCCGCGATGTACCAGACGTTGCTCAACTGGTAGTGTCCGATTCGCGTGCGGTCGGCGTGCCGTGGGCGTGCCGTCGGCGTGCGGCCCTCCCCACCCCTCTTGTTAATTTATTTTTGTCGAGTTTGCGCCTTGATTTGTATGCTGGGGAGTGGGCTTAGTTTTCTTATGGACACCGAGACTGAGTTATTTTGTAAACAGTTGAGTGTAGTTGGTCATCTGTAGTCTAGTCGTCTTCCTCGTGTTCATTCCAGGGTTAGTGATAGGTCAATCAACAGTATTTTGTTATTTGTGACTTTTTTTTTCTTTCTTTTTTTTTGATGAGTAAGTGAATCAATTGTTCAATGGAGCTTCAACCACTATTTTTGTTTTATAAACCTCTTCGTTCAATTCAACTGAACTGCCAGTGGCAGTCATAATCAGTGAAGGAATGTGTCAGGCACTGTTGTTGTTATTAGTGTCCGATTGTAACATCAAATCTTTGGGACTTCTGTGTAATGAATTATATTGTTTTCACTCTGTTCATACTTTCTAATTTAGTAAACCATTAGCCCTTGGTAATACTTTTTCATTCTTATTTGACCTGTATACAGTATTTATTTCATGGTTGTAAAGATTTTCACCTGTACCTAATGTTTGCAAGAGTTATTTTTTTCCTATTTTTTTCAGTATTTTTCTGTTTACTTTTCTTGTGAAGTTCATTATTGCTATGAACTTCTTAACGTAACTGTTATTTTGGTTGCTGTAAATGATTACAGTTTCCAATTTCCTCTCTCTAAATACTTCAGTGATTAATTATGTTAACATACCCTATGTATATCATGTGATTTGTTGTTCAAATGTACATATTAAGACATCTTGTTATGGTTCGACTTTGTACAGTTTAGTTTTGTACTGTTAGACTTGATGATGTTGTTGTTTTGCCATAGTTATGTTCAAAGCTACAAGATGGAAAAATACCAAAGAGGACAATGTTTGCAATTCGATGGTTGTTTTTTAAACTTTTCGTTGTTGTGGGGAAAGCTTGGTGATACTTAAACAGTATATATTATTGATTTTTATTACTAATTATTCGTATCATTTCATCCTTTTTCAAAATTGTGGCTGGTTGTGACCATGTCAAAAAAAATCTGTCCGTGGTTTGTTCTGGTCGAACAAGATCACAGTTATTTTTCTCATAGAAATAAATCAAAAATTCGATTCTGTGTCTTGTTTTTTCTCTGCTAGGTACCGTTTGCCATGTGCAAAGTAGCTTCAAAAATTTCACTTACATTTTAGGACAATGAAATAGGTCACTTGAGTCATTCACAGCTTCTCTAACATACAATAATTCGCACTCATCCTCACATCCCCGTGCAAAGGCCATTGGGGGCCCAGATGGGGACACGACAAGCGCAAGGGTTGTACTGGTGGTCTGGCATGGCACTAAGCAGGCTTGTGGTGGTTGCAGAGAGTTGGAAGGTGGTCGTCAACTGTAACCTGTGCGGCAAGGTGCTGAAGAGAGGCAGCCTACGCAAGCACATGGTGGACCGTCACTCGGACAACGTGCAGACGTCCCCGTGCCCGTACTGCCACAAGCCCTTCCGCACGGCCAACTCGCTCTCGAACCACTTGTCGCTGTACCACCGTGAGCTCGTGCAGGCCGCCAAGAAAATGCGGCAGCCTGGCGTGGCGGCACCGGGCCCTGCGCCGACCGGGACCGGGGGCAACTTTACGGCCTTGGTGGCGAGCTCCGGGGCCGCGGTGGTGGCGGCGGCCGCGGCGGCGGTCGGGGGGTGCGGCCCCGGGGGTCCGCTGGGCCCCGCCGCCGTGCCGGTCATCATGCCTGTCCAGCCGGTGCAGCCGGTCCCCACGACCTTTGCGGGGATGGCCATGCAGTCCGTGCAGTCCGTCATGGACGTGCCCGCGGCGCAGGGACCGCAGGGACTCGGCCACCCCCACCCCCAGCCGACGCCGTCACCAGCGCCCTCCCCCGCACCCGCAGCGACGGCCTCTCGCGGCGCCACCACGCAGCGCAGAGCGCGCAGACCTGGAGCAGTTGCTCGTTCTAACGACACTGGCACTGGCAGACAGCACTGGGGCTGCTGCTCTTAACAGACGACCATTGCCTTAACAAAAGAAAAAGACTGAAATCTTTTGCCTTAGTTCCTTTTAAATGTAGACATTAAATGTACCTGTACCACATTGATCTAGTCTTACCATTTCTCATAGACCAATCTCTGTTGCTCATTTCACCCTTGTTCTAGCTGGTAAGTAAGCGTGCAACAAGAAAAGTGGTTCGCTTGAAATTCACATATGTTGTTGTGGTGGCAGGCCTATCAAATGACACTCCACATCCGCTCACTCAATAATAATTTCTTGAATTAAAGTACAAATTGCAAAGCTTTCAAAACAATATGACAGCCTCTGTCCTCATGCGCATAGTTTAGTTTTATGCCCACTCTTTATGTTAAGTTTGTCTTTCTTGTTGTCAGCAGTCAGCAAAGCGTGCTAATTGTTACAGGGCCAGCATACCTCATGGCAACGCGGTACATCTGTTGTCATATCTGTGGAAAGACAATGCGGAAGGCAAGCTTACGTCGTCACATGGAGGATCGTCACATGCCTAATCATCGCTGTCACTGCCCTCATTGTCCCAAGACGTTCCGTACTTCTAATTCCCTGCAGAACCACCTTTCACTGTATCATCGCAATTTCCGGAGGAAGCGTGGTGGTGGTGCTGCTGTTGCAGGTCATGACCATATGGATGAGTCACAAATGAACCAATTTGGCCAACAACTCAGCCAACAGATCAACCAGCACCTCAACCAACATTTAAGCCAGCAACTCAATCATCAAATCAATCAGCATTTGAATCAGCAAATGGGCCATTTCGATCCGGACCAACTGAGGCTTGAGCTTGATCTGCGTCGCAAGCAAGATGGTAGCATTGACATGACGAGGTCTGACCAAGATGGGGGAAATGATTTGGATAATCAGAGAGATTCACAGCTGCATCTTCAGCAGCAGCAACAATCTCATTGTCTGCCTCCAGTTTCTGCTTCTTTGCAGACCATGTAAGGTGGTGCACTGTATTTTCTGGTGGTGCTTCCCATCAATTTCCGTCCTTTTTTTAAATTCCATAGATGTTATTTTTTTGTCTTTTCTATTTTGATTTGCTCTTTGTTACTTTCATTCTATTAGGATTTTAAGATTTGCCCATAAGTAGATGCTAAGTGAATTTCAAGGCTACAAGTTTTTCTTTGGAGATCAAAATGGGTTTTCCAATTCATTCACAAAGCCGATTAAATTTGAGTTAGTCTCATTTTGATTTGATTGTGACAATGTGATCTAAATTTATTGAATGCATTTCTTCAAAGGCAGTACCTTGTATTCTCATTATTTGATCACTGTGGTGGCTGTGCTGATTGAGCTTCTATTACTGGTACAAGCTTGTCAAGAGAAACTTAATTGCCAATTTGATATTAACAATGTAGTAGGTGTGGTACTTGAAGGATTTATGTTTCTCAGCTGTTTTTTTTAATAGTCAGTAAACAATTGATACTTTTTTAAAGGTATGAACCGTATACGCTTAATTTATATTGATCTAGTATTTTTTACTGCCCTGATGTTCATTTGCACAGTTTGGCAAAGTTTTGTACGTATATTTTTTCTCAACATTCCACTTAGAATGTTATTCATATTACTACATCTGGCTTGGATGATTTTACATTTTTGCTGGATTTCAACAACGGGTATTTTGTTGTTTATGCTGTTTGATGTTTTCTTTCTGATAATCTGTTACTTGTGTATTACGACCATATACACAGTTTGGTGCTGTGAACTTTAACAATTAGCATCCTTGTTATTTTCCTGTCGTATTGTTTCCTGCTCAGTGAATCTGCCTTTTCATTTAATTTATTGCTCAGTATTTTTAAACATTTTTTTTCAACGTACCTTTCTTTAGATTAGATGTAGATTTTTACTGTTTCTATGAATGTTATGCGTCTTCAATTGATTCTCATTTTAGTTAGCCAATATACTGTCTTTTTGACAAATGCAGAAATTCTAAGAAATCTTGTAGTCGTGACTGAGATTATTTTTTATTGGAAATGTCTGAACGCATATTAGCAGCAAATAAGATGGCCTGATGAAATTGGTTGTAATTATGGGGATATAGATGATGAGTTGTATACCTCTTTTTCATTCAATCTCCTTTTTACATTAGTTATTAGGTTTTGAGATACCTTGCCCACTTATTTAGTATAGCAATGGGAACTTAACTGATTAGTATAGGAGCAGCTGTTTATTTGCTTAATGTGGACTGATCACCCAAACAGTGTTATTTATTTTCAATGTTCTAAAATCTCTCATTGCATGTAGCTTTTTGACTGATTGAGGATATGCTCTCCATTTCTTTTCCTGAACATATTTGTGTTTACAAATGTAACCTAATTACAATGTTTGATAGTACAATATTGATGGTAAAGTAGTCTTTTTGAGCTTGCTGCTGAGTCATTAGTTTTAGGCACTGTGGACTTTGTGCCATCTTTATTTATGTACTTAAAATTTAAGGTAGAAGATGATTGAGCGCACTGAGCAAATGGTTTGATCTCGTCAGATATGAGACTGGGACAATAGGCATTCCTTGGAATCCGATACTGTGGGTCTATACCTTACCTTTATTTGTTTAATATGTAATTCTGTTATTGAATTCTGATTGTGACGGGTATTTACCAGTGAGATAGCATTTATGAGCAGTTTTCAAGCTCACTCTGAAGTTCCTTTTCTATACAATAGCAGAATGATATCCTCTTCTGTTTTTTCTGTTTGCCATGAGGGTTTGCAGCTGTCTCCCCTGTGATGTTTTGAATATAGTCTTCTGTATGGATTGATGCCTTGGGTGGATAATTTTGAAACCTAGATTTTATTTAAAGTACTTCTGTGGTAGCAGGTTCTGCTTTGAATTAATAGTTACTGCCTCAGCATAACGGGTTGTATTAGAGCATCTTCTCATGCTCCAATATCATGTACATTGTAAGTAAGCCCTCTTTTGGGCCTCTCAAGATGTTTTTAATTAAATGATCAAAAGTTGCATAACTGAACCATGTTTTTTTTTATTATTATTCTTGGTCTCGGTTGACTGGTTGCAGTGTATTTGTAGTAATGTGGTACGAAAATAAAGAATTTTAAGAATAGTTGGCTGTTCTATCAGTTTTACTTCCTTTGGTTCCCTCACTTCGGGCAGGGCATCGCAATGCGATGCAAATGATGGGTAGAGTTAGAGCCCGGCCGGTGCGGGTAGTGGGTGGTGCAGAGGGGTTGGGGCTCGCGTTGACGCTGACGCGCCTGGCGCTGCCTGCCTTGCCTTCTTGCAGAGACGGCGCAGTGCCCCGAGTGCGGCCGCTGGATGACGGCGTACAACCTGCGCCGCCACTACCGGGACCAGCACATGCCGAACCAGGCGTCGCGCTGCCCGCACTGCGGCAAGATGTTCCGCAACCTGTCTAGCATGCAGAGCCACAAGTCCAAGTACCACCGCGGCGGCGCGGCTGGCGGCAGCAGCGGCGTCCCCGTCTCGCCCTCGCCGCCGCCCCTCCCCGGACAAGCGGGCGCGGTGGAGCGGGCGTGGCCGTCGCCGTCCTCGTCCTCGGGCAGCTGGGCGGGCAGGGCGGGCAGGATGTCGCCGATGACGGCCACGTCGCCGTGGGCGCGTCCGCCCTCGCGTCCTGCAGGCCCGGCCGTCCCGGCCAGCCTGGAGCACGTGCCGCCCCCCGTGCAGCTGGACAGCCTCGACTACCGCGAGCTGCAGCAGGCGCACATGCTGGGCGCCGAGCACGACATCAGACGCATCAGCCGCGCCGAGCTGGCCGAGCCCCAGCCCTCGCGGCTCTGACGGCCCTCACGGCCCTCACCCTGAGCACTTGTGTTTACTCTGTCGGGAATTCGGGACAGTATTACCAATATTTTTGTCTTGTTTAGGGAAGGATGTTGAAGTATTTAAGTATTTTGTGGTCTGCTGGCTGTGAGAGGAAGGTGGTTTCCAGTTCGTTATTTATTTATTTAGTTAGTTTTCAATGTAATTTATTTTGGCGTTCATTGTGGATGCCTCTCTTGATTTAACTCTCTCTGCTGTGATCACGATATAAGATAATGTATAATGAAATCCATACGAAGAATTATTACGTAGTATTTATAAGATAACAACTAATTCTGATGTTGTCAAAGACAAGATACGCTCTTCCCGAGTCGTTCTAATGTATTCTTTCTTGTTTCTGTATTTTCATGATTGAATATATTTGCTTTTTGAGTATTTACACAGTACTGGTCAGTTGTATGAACCCCATCTTTTAGGCATTGCCCACCTCCTTTCGGTAAGCGTTGGGTTTTAAAATACAATTTCTATCATTAAAACGTAACTATAACAACTGCTTCTTCGGTGTTGAGTGACCTCCATTTGCTGAAAGGGATTAGGTTTTTAAACACTCAAGTCTGCTGGCTTGCTGCTTCATTTCTCTGCCACCAGTTGCCTTTTTTAGCCGGTGATGCTTTTTTGGGGCCTAGCGCAGTCTAGCCAGCCCCCTGCAGTCCTTCTCTTCCGCTTAGGCCTGCTTGCCAGCTTGGGCTCCGCGCTGCCCCGCGCTCCGTTGCGGTGGTGACACTGTGCTTGTGACACGTCGGTGACCCTTGGTCGTGTTTTCGCTTCGCAGGCGTGCTGCTTGGCGGGGAGGACGGACAGGACGAGGTGGCGGGTGCGGCCAGGGAGTCAGGCCAGGCGCAGGGCCAGCTTGGCCAGGGCCAGGGCTTCCCCTGCTGGGTGTGCGGCAAGGCGTTCGTCAACCACACCAACAGGCAACGCCACATGGACAACATCCACGGAAAGAACCAGGGCCCGTTCCGGTGCCCAGTGTGCGCCAGGCTGGCCAAGAACAAGCACTCCCTCGACTACCACATCTACCACTACCACCGCAGGGGCCAACGTTAAGACTGATCTCGCTGTGAACTATTTATTTGTCGCACGATGACGTTTCGACTAGAATTAATAATTAGGTAAATAAAACTGCGTTCCCAATCCAGGCTGCGTCTCCTTTGCTTTCCATGCCACACTCGACACACGGGGCGGGGACACGCGCTACTCTGGCCGAAGTAGGACGACAGCCCCTCCGCCCCCTCCCCCGGAGAAGCCGAAGCGGCGCGAAGCGGCGCGAAGCGGCCGACGCCAGGGTGCTCGCCGACCCAGCCGCCACGTTGAACGTGCGTTTGGTTCTGTTGCAGAGCCCGTCGTGGTGCCACTCACCACCGCTCGCAACACGCCGAACACGCCCCCCGGCCTCGGCCCCGCGCCCCGGCCCCGCACCCCTGCGGCCGCGCTGCTCCCGGACGTCCTGGACGTCCTCGAGCTGGAGCCCCCCGCGGCCCCCGCGCCGGCCGGGCTGCTGCCAAGACGACCGGCCGTGGCCTCGGCGTCGACGCGCTCCTGGGCCCACAGGAAGATGGCGGTCGCGCCGAGCGCGCCCGCCATGGCCTACCAGTGCTCCAAGTGCCCCAAACGGTTCGCCTCCCAGAGCAACCTGCGGCGCCACTTCGTGAACCTGCACGGCCAGGACCGCGGACCCTTCTACTGCCCCTTCTGCGGCAAAGTGACGAAAAACAAAATCTCCCTCAAGTCGCACATCTACGCGTACCACAAGCTCCACGCCCCCGCCGCCGCGGCCACGGCCGCCGTGCCCCCTCCCCCCGCGGTGCAGCCGGGGCAGCCCTGGGCCGAGTAGAGCCTAGCAGTCGTGGACTCTTGTGTCGACTGAAACTGAAACCAGTGGCGGGCCCAGAAGCGGTCTGGCGGAGGGGCGAAAAACCCCTTTGGCCTCTCTCCTGTATTCGCGCCATTAAGGTGTCCTTACGATCTCTCCTCGTGTGTAGAAAACTGTCTGAAAATGTGATTGTTTGATTCGAAAGTGTCATTTGTTCAAATACTCGTCAATTATATTTATATGTTTATATTCCAATTTTGTCTGACCACTCTTGTTCTACCACTTTTCACGTTCATGGACACGCAGACCGCTGAAATAATACATGTGTGTGTGTGTTTGGGGGGGGGAGGGCATAAGCGTAGAAGACCAATACCTTACCGGGTGAAAAATGTTCGAAATGAGCTACACTACCGGTACTGCAAGTTTCCTCTCCATCTGGGGGCGATACCTGTCTTTCTCGCGCGGCGATCAGAGAAACCGACTTGGACTTCCCTGGCCGCGGCTTCCTCCCCCCCCCCCCCCCACGCTGGTACACTGCAGTGCCATTGCATGCACTCGGCGGGGCCGTCCGTCCGTGTCCGCCCCTCCACTCGACAGCACACTGCTTCCGAGGGGCGTCTTCGTCGCTCTGTCTCTCTCGCACCAATGCGGCACGCCCCATGAGTGCGAGAGAGACAGAGCGACGGAAACGCCCCTCAGCCTCTCTCCTCCCTCTGCATGGTTGCATGGGCCTCGGCCTCCCTTCGGTCTGGTTGTCCTGCATGCGTCCGTGCAGGGAAGTCCCCACCCTCGCCTTTGCATGGAGCTCTCATGACGCACCGTCACAAAGGGCAACGACACGCGTCGCTACGCAGTGTCGCTGCGGCCGGGGCTTCTATCGCCACGCACAACGTGAAGCGTGAAGCGCGAGCGCCAGGCTGGCCGCCGACTGACCCGTCACCTCGTTGCTCTTGTTGCAGGACTGTTCGGCGACTCGCTGCGCCTGATGGTGGACACGGGCGAGGGGCTGGTGTGCCCCGTCTGCCAGAAGTCGTTCACGCGCCGCGACAACCTCAAGAGCCACTTCTCCAACCTGCACGGCGAGCACCGGGGCCCGTTCCGCTGCAGCTTCTGCTTCAAGGTGACCAAGAACAAGATGAGCCTCCGCGCGCACATGAAGAACTACCACCCGAACCAGCTGCAGCGACGCAAGAGCTCCTCCAACAGCGGCGAGCGCGGCGAGCGCGGCGACACGCTCAAGCTGGACGAGAGCCCCTCGCCCTTGGTGACGCTGGGCTCGCTGGGCCTGGGCGCCCCGCTGCCGCTGTCCTCGCCCGCCTCCCCGGCACTGCCATGACTAGCGAGCCTCCTTGGCTGCGACCGTATCGACGGCGTCGACGGCGTCGCCGCGCAGGGACCGCCGGAGCAGCTCGGCCAGCCGGGCCAGCCGGGCCAGCCACTCGGACAATTCATCATCACGTGATGTTTTTCGTTGCTACAAATGATGCTTTTTCTTTTTCTTGACTTTGTGTGTGTGTGTGTTTTTCTTGTTTTTTTTTTGTTTTGTGTTTTTTATTTTTGTGTTTTTTATTTATTATAATTGTAGTCTCCTTTTTTTTCTCTCATTCCAACCAAATAATGTAAGTGCTCCAAATTTTGTTGTTGTTGTTGTTATACTTTGCTACAAAACCTGGACGGACTTCAATCAATTTTCAAAACATGGAAAGTTAATCTGCGTGTTTGTCAAATTTTGTTTGCATGCTGATTAACAGTTGGAGTTTGTTTCAATTAACACTTAAATAATTCTTCCAAATATTGAAAGGAAAACCTATAGGAGGCTAAGATCGAGTCATTTTTTTTTCTTTAAGTTAAGTATTTTTATCTAAAGAACAAGTCATTCAAAATGCTTTTTATGAATATGATTCCGTGTGTAGTGATATTTTTACCTAAATCTGTTAGGGACAAGCTAAAAAGTGTGATTGAGTCATTGAATATTAATTTAGCTTGATACCGCTAATACCTCATAATCTCGTGTTGCTCAATATTTGTTGTCTGCTCCACGCTGTGAATTTAAATCAACATTACCTCAATGTATAGCTCTCTGCACTACCTCGGTATTACTGGTATACGTCTTAATCTTAAGCTGTGTGTGTCAATATTTATTTTTAGTTTTTCCCTTTTCTTTTTGCCTTATGCATTGTATAGTCATTTTAGAGTGGGCTGGTAAGCCTCTCTTTCAGGTGGTTTCAGCATGTTTTATGGAAAACATTGTTAGTGAACATAGGTAAAACCTTACCTTCTTGTCAATATCAAAGTCAGATCTAGTGATCAAGGAAGTGTAGGTAGCCCCTTCTTAGTCATTGTGGGAGGAAATGAGCTTCCCATCCCTTTTCATAAGAAATTGAGTGCCTTTTGGTGTTAAACATGTTATTCTGTGTTATTCTTTTCTGTTTTTTTTCTTGTTTTTTTTTTCCATTTGTGTTTTATAAGGCCAAAGTAAAAATCATTGATCTAGAAGTCACTTGTACAGGGTACGTTTGCTGTATGTAGTTGTTATTTATTTTAGTCAAAATCAAATTTTGAGCCTTTTTAGTAAGTTTGTAGACAGAGATGAGACTTAAAGTAAGAATGATTGTAGATTGGTTGAATGAATGAATAAATGAGTGAGATAAATGTTGAAAGTAAACAGCAATGTGCAAACATTCCTGGGGGTAAGTGAGTGCAAAGCACACCACCGCATTATTTGCAGTGCAGTGCTCTGCCAAAGAGAGCACTCAGCACCCTCATAAATAGATGTAAAAATGTGAAAGATACCTGATCCCATCAAAGTGGCGATAGCTTTAAGTATTTATTTTTGTACAAGCAGTTGTGTTATGTTAAGATAAGCCGTAAGCCTTGTTCTGGGTCTCAACTCATTGGCGCCAAAAACTGAAGTGATTAATCAAAACAAACTTAGATTTAATTTGTAAACGCAACAACGGGCAGTGAGTCATTTCATTGTGTGCCAAGACAACTTGTGTTATTTTTGTGAAATCTAGAATTCAATAAATAAAAATAAAAATTGATCCAACTGTCTTCTTTATCATTCTTTTCCCAAAATACGTTTCCCACTGCGACGACAGATTATGTGCCCTTGGAAGCGGAACCGGGTACAGAGAGAGATACACAGAGAACTTCACTGAAAGAAAGAGAAGCAATCTACAAATTTGAAAAGAGACTTGCTGGCATAGCAATCGTGCAGAGAAACACTTGGCCCGGCCTCTCCAGCGCCTCGACGTGGAGCCGCCTGCTTTCGGCCGAGGTAGGCAACCCAACTGCCGGCCGTGCGCCGCGCGCTGCCTATGCTGCTTCTCGCAGGCGTTGACGTGCTCCCTGCGGCCTGCGCGACGAGGCGACGACATTGCCGCGGGCAAGGCGCGGTGCGTGGCGGTGGCACGGCGAGCTGGCACTGCGTGGCACTGGCACGGCGAGCGGCGCCCACACAACACCACCTGCGTTTCGCACCTGAGTGGCAATGAGCAAATGCATGAGCAAGAGGCACACTTACATACAGTGCAGTGCAGCAGGCCGATTCCGAAGAGTGGTTTCGTCGCTGTCTCTGTCGCACTCGTGGGGCATCCCGTGCGCGGGTGCGAGAGAGAGGGCCTTCAGAACGGCTCGACTGGGCTGGGCGGGCTGGCGAGCGAGGCGAGTGTGCCGGCATACACGCGCGTGCCACGCAGCCTCGCACGGGGCGCGGGCAGCGCGGGCCGGGCCGGGGCGGGGCAGGCCGCGTGCGAGGCGTCGCAGGCACCGCGCCCGCTCCCCGACGCCCGGCCGGCAAGGTGGACGCCTCGGACGCGGCCTCGGCAAATAATGTATGAAGGGTAGCTGGCGGGACGGGACGGGACGGGACGGGCCTGCTTCTAGGAACCGCTGCCGCGACGCGCGACGCTTATGCGTTGCGCGGTTCCGCCCGGCGAGGGGGAGGCACTTGTTCGTCACCGCGGCGTTCCAGGTCCAGGCCCTGCGCGCGCTCCAGCGTCCAGCTCCGCCGGCCACTGAGCCTCAAAAACCCAGTCGCGGGCGGAAACAAGCGGGATAAACGTTAGATTACAGGCCCCCGCGTGTACGTCGTGCTTTTGGATTTCGACTCCGCAGCTGTGAAGATCGCCACCAGGCGGACGTCGGAGTCCTCGTCGGACTCGGCGTGGCGTGGCAGGGCGCGTGGTCACCAGGTGCTGAAGGGGCTGTGCCTGGAGGCTGGCCCGGTATTGATAACCCGGTTAGCAGGCCAGGACGGTGCACTGCACGCCGGAGCCCCGGAGCAGCCCCGGGCCCCGGGCTGCACGACGGCTCCATTTGTCAGCTCGCCGCCCCTCTCCGTCCCCGGGGGTGGCCGAGGGCGGCGTGCGTACACCGTAGTACGGCGTGTGTGGCGCCCATGCGTGACTCGTACTCGACGCGGTGGAGCGCGTCCGGACCCAGCTGAGAGCTACGCTGCTACGCTGCCACGGCGGCGACGTCACCGGGCCTACTCCACGGCTGGAGGCTCCATCGCTCCATCACCGCCTAGAGCCCTGGACGTCGCGGCACGGAACCAACACTTCGTCACTTTGTCTCGCCCAGCCTGCAGCCGGCCTTTGGCGGACATTTCGCGCGGTATCGTGAAATTGAGGACCTAGTTGCCAACAGTGCGTTTGGTTGGAGCACACTGTGAAATTCCCCAAGGCTCGGTTCTGTATCTTTCTCTGGCATTGGCCTGATGATCTGAGCTGCCAATTCGTCCCTGTGGCCGTGGCGTGGCCGTGGCGTGGCCGTGGCGGGGCCGTGGCGTGGCCGTGGCTTGGCCGCCAACATCGCCTTAAGCCGCGCCACGCCGCCATGCCCTCGGCATACATACATGAAGGGAAACAATGGACGAGGGCCTCCGCTCACCACCCGGTAAGAAATCACATGACGGCGGGGGAGGGGGGCCGGGCCGGCCGGGCCGCCCTGAAAGAGAGCTAAAAAAAGGGAGAGGAAACCGCGCTGACGGCCAGACCGCGCGCCGGAGCGGCGCGGAGCGGCCGGAACGCGGGGTAGGGCCGGAGCGGGGGAGGCTGAGGGCGTGCTTGGTGGCGGCAGCGCAGTGGCGGCGGCGCGGTGGCGGCCGTGCAGTCAGAGAATGGACGAGACGTCCGAACGTCTCAACGCCTGAACGACGCATTGTGTTCGGCCGGGCTACAGCTTCCGAGAAGACGGCGAATTCCTTTCGTCCTTTCGTCCTGGCCGAGACGGCCGAGCGGCGCGGGCTGCAGGCAAGCCGACGGCCGCGAAGGCACCGGCAGCAAGCTGATGCCGCCAGCGACCGTCTCTCCCGCACCTACACTGGACGCCTTTCGAGTGCGAGAGAGACAGAAAGCCGCGGGCCGGCAGCGGCGGAACGCTCCGAGCCGACGGACCCCGGCCGAGGCAGCGAGGTGCCTTCCAGCCCCCGCTAACTGCTGCACTGCTTCGCGGTCTCGTTGCCACCCCGCGCGGGCAGCAGGTCAGTCAGCCGGCGCACCGCGGCCGCCCCATCCAAGCCAAGGTGGCCGCCACCGTGGTGGTCAAAATACCGCGCGTCTCGGAGTCTCGGTACGCGGTGACCGCGGCGGCAGGGCGCGGCGTGCGAATTGTCACCCTGCCACGCCATGGCCTGCCGCCCGGCCGCCCTGGTTCGCCGCGTGCGCCGCCAGCATCTCATTAACATTCCATCGGTCCTGATTAACTTTCCATAAAATATTTGCGATTGCTGCCGAGAGTGCGCCGAGGCCGACCGAGGCCGGGGCTCTAAATTACTCATTTGCTTCCCGCGAAAAGCGTTTCGTTATTTATTCGCCTGCAGTGCACCGCGGGTGGAGGGGGAGGGGGTGGGGGGGGGGGGGCAGGCAGGCCACGCGCGTTCGTACAGACCAAAGAGACCACACCAGATATTGGACGGCGATTCTTCCCCGTTTTACACTCTCCTTTTATTAAACGGCGGCGCTCGCGGCTGTGGGAGAGGGAGAGAGAGGGGTCCGTGGCTCAAAGAGATCCCCCAACTTCGGGTGATGCATCTCGTAAGTGTTCCCTCTCAGCCGCGTTGAATTACTGGACCGGGAAAAATCTTAAAATAAAGTTGGGTGTGGCGGCCTTGTCTTTACGAGACATGGCACCCGAAGCCGAAGATGGCGAGTGTCGTTCCGCCGCCGCTGGCCCGTGGCTGGCCGCCGCCAACGGCTGCTGCAGCTGCTGGCCGCGCGCACTCCCGATGACCGATGCGTTTCGACTCGATCGCTGAAAACAATTCCCCGACGCGGTGCAGTGCGCCGAGCGGCATGGCGGCGCCGAGGCCCCGGGGACACGGCCCCAGCC